ACAGCGTTGATCTCTTTGACAGGTTACACAGCTTTGCTAATTAACTGCTATCCATGTGAGCATCTGTATGGTGCCTAGTAGATGCTGAATGAAGGAAAAGTCATTCCGATGCCACAACACTTGCCATTGCTTGGGAAGCCATTCCCATCCTCTCTCCAGAACTTTAATGTCATCATAGGACCGAGAACGTTAAAGTCACGCCTTAGTTTTGGCCCCAAACCAGTATAACAAAGCATAAATTCCTGGACTTGGCTTTAAACCACTTTGCTCCATTAAACCAAACCAAAACAAATCCACCCTAAAAGGACAGAAATTTTCTTGTCATGTTATGCCCCAAATCGGGGTTCCAGGCCTCTAGACTTGGTTAGCATGACAATGCCATTTCTGAGGAGCTGTGCTTCATCCAGGTGTCCCAGGACATCTGAATAAATTGCCCAAATCCTAAATCATGCTATTTGTTTAAGGTTTCGGTCACCATCTCCGAGATTACTACAGCCTGTCTCACAGTTTTGCTGCATGAGAAGCACCTTGGCTGAGATTCTCACCTATCTTTCTCACAGATTACAAAGAATAGATAAGGAGAGGATTGCTTGATTTCTGCCTTAGTTAAAGGAAAGTAAGGAACCAGCCGTTCCCTTCCAGAGGACTGGAAACTTGGAGCTGGACTGAAAGTTTCCACTGCTTTCAGTGTTTTCCCACAGGCTGGGGGAAAGAGCTGGGTGAAGATATACCTCTAATCCCAACTCTGCCCGTTGTAGAGTCCATTTACACTTGAGGACTCTCATCCGTTTGTTGGTGCGGGCGAGTGTCCTCTGCCCACAGTCTCTGCAAGGACTTGAATGCCACCCTCCTTCTTTGGACAGCACTACTTGTGCGCTCACGCCAGGTATCACACACCTGAGGCATCTGCGGGTCGTTGATGTCCCAACTGAGCTTCATCCCATAGGAGTGCGCACAGTCCGCCTTCTGCCCCTCTCCCGTCGGCATCTGCTCACCTTGCTAGCGGTCTCTGGCAAGGATTCTGCAAGATAGAAGAGGAAAACAGATCTGCAAGTGCGCTAGGTGATTTCCTCTCCCTCTTCTAAAAGAAAGTGGTGAACGGGGGAGAGAAGGAGGGAGGAAGGGAGCGAGGGAGGGAGGGGGAGAGAGGGCGAGAATGAGAGGATGAGAATTAGGAAATCCACGAGGATTAAAGACCCTGGTGGAGCCTTCTTCAGGGTTCGGTGCTAAAGGCGCCAGGCAGCTGTCCACACACTTATATAAAGATTCACCTCCCCCTGCTCCGCCTTTCTTCGCTCACTCTCCAGCTCCCACGCTCCCCGCACCAGCAAGACTCCCTCCCCAGCTCCCTCTTCCCGACGGAACTAGGAACAGAGGGGAAGGCTGACTTGAGCCCTTGGGTGACAAAAAACTGAGGCCTAGATGTTAAGGGACGCGAGTGGGGGTATGGATGTTGGAATGCCTCATTTAAATTGAATTTAACCTCACCCTGCCTCTGGGGGCTTGGTTTGGGCTTAGATGGCAGCTTTTTAGACAGAAGCTCTCGAGTCATCCCTGAAAGCCAATTCTCAATTCTCAGGCCGCTGCGGAGTGGTAGTTGGCTACATGCACCCCAGTCTGAGTGACTATGCCCAGGCTCTCCGCTCTGCGGGTTGGCGTCGGCCCTCTTTGGGCCTCTGCTCTAGTCTTTTGCTGCAGCTGGTATCCGTGTCCGGGAGTTCTGCTCGCTTTGTTGGGGGAGGGCGGGGGGGATGCTGGGCTGAGGTCGGAGAGAGAGCGCGTCAAAAATGCCTGTGGGCTCGCGGGCCAAGGTGCACGCATGTTCCCTGGGGTTGAGGAGCGACAGGCCCAGTGGGAAGATAGCCTTAACAGGTGAACCTGGAAAAGGCGAGGGAAGACTAGCTAGGGGTAGGTGAAGGGAGACGGAGAAGGTGAATTCTGCGGCCCTAGGCGCAGGAGCTCCTGCAGAACCCGTAGCTTTCTCTGTTGCCTTGGCTCCCGTTGAGCCCGTTTCCCTATCTGCTTAAATGAGGGACTGGGGCTCAGCGAGTCGCCATCCACCTGACATAACCCTTAAAAAACCTTTATTGGTATTGTCGTGGACATACCACACAAAATCGTATTTACCCCTATTCCATCTGAGGAGGCTTTTCTGGAGGCTGCCGTAGCCAGGTGAAGGGGGTCGCCAGGTGAAGGATGGGTTCCTCAAGGTTGAGATCAACCCTTCGCCTGTTATTCCGCCTCATTAGAGTGATTCTAGTACCCGGAGGCGTCCAGTAAAAGAAAAACGATTGAAGTGATTTAAGTCGCTCATTGTCTATGTTGGGCGAGAGAAGATGTGTTCCCGGAATTTATTTTCTTTTTTCTTTTTTTTGGGGGGGGGGGGGGGCTGTGCTTCTGTTCCCAGCCCTAGCCAGAGAAGAGCCAGCCGCTGAAGGCCATCTGTGTTAGAGGAGAATGCTCCAAACCTACGCCCTTCTAAACCCCGAGACTGGCGCACCCCAGACCTTGGAATCTCCCAGCGCACCCCGGGCACAGGGACTAATGCCGCGTGGGACCCTGCTGGGAGGGCACCCAGGCCAGCACCTCTTGCAGTATCAGTTTTACTCTTTGGCGAAAAGCGGGAAGAAGCAGATGAAAAACTCACTATCCGAATAACCATCTATGCTCCTGATCCTCTTAACCTCTTGGGTCAAGGGCACTGTCAGGCGTGTTAGAAAAGTCAATCCATTAGTGAAGTGCTTTTCAGAGCCGCGGGCCCTTGGCAGCGGATTAGCGGAGAACTCTCGCGACGAGGCAGGAAATGGACATTTCTAGGATTTACCTTCTTTTTCTAGGTTCAAGCTGGGGTACACCTCCCGAGTCTCCGCTGCCCCATAGTTCTTGTCACCTGAAGGGTTGCATTGGTCTGGGTTTGTGATTAAAATCACTCTCACGTGGTCCTCAGGGAGTTCTGGGAGGGAAGGAAGAGAGTGTCCACTCTTCACCCACTGGCTCTGTCCTCAGACTTTCATGTGTTAACTGACTGCCGAAGGTCATTGCAACCCTTGTATTCAGTTGCTTTTTATACTGTTTTGTCTTTTAGAAGTTAAAATATTTGACATTTTATTTTTAAATAGCTATTTTGTTAGTTTGATAGTGTAACATAATGTATACTTTAAAATATTTTACTATAATGCCAAAAATAATTTAAAGTAACATCTCAGAATGCATAGATCTTAATTTCTAGTTGTCTTGTAAACATTTTTAGAATACTTCATGTCTCTATAGTTTTGGAATACTCCTAGAGTTATATCCTTCAAAAACATAAAGAAATTCAATTTTTAATATTAAAGCCAAATCAATTAATCATATCCTTTTTTTCTAAATGGATTCTGGTGTCCAAAGAAATGTCATAGAGTTTCCACCATATTAGTTTGAGAAGAATTAAAATATACATGTTCTAAGTTGCCCTAAAATTGTGTCTGGGTAAAATACATTAGTGGAACGAATCAAAGTGAAAATATAAAATAAATAAATAAATAAATAAATAAATAAATGGAGGTGTTCTCTATTATTTTTAATTTCTCCTGAAAATTTGAATGCATTAACAATCATATTGTTTGAAAGGATATGTTTTTTCCTGAAAAGCTTGAAAGTAATGGAAATAAAGCTTTAAAATCTAATAATTTTATTATATGCTACATATGACATTGTTTTATTTTCTAAAGTAAAATGTATTTAAACTATATTGTGATTGTTGTTTATTATCCTTTAATTTTCTCCTTCAGTAATATTTGCACTGATTCAGAACACTTTATATTCAAAGATGGCTCTTCGTTAATATTTTGGTACTGTAAAAGCTAATTAACTCAAACATAAGGAAGAAGGCTTTGAATTTGCTAGGTTGAGATTAATTTAGGTAATTAATGATGTATATTTACATCATATTGGCCAGGAAATGATGAGCTTTGAAATAAGTATTTGGAATGAACTGGTGGTACATGCACAGTCCTGGGCCAACCGGCCGAGATTCTGATTATCTTATGTTTTGCTTGGATGTAAACAAATATCTTCTGTAAATGTCATAACATGAGATACCCTTAGCATCTAGTTATAATTCAAGTTGATGTCTACACAAGGAATGTTTGGATTTGAAAGGTCATTTTTTTTTTAAAGAAAACACCAGTCCAAATTATTTTTGCCGCCACGGTGTCTCGTAACAGGCCACCTGCTGCCCTGACCCTGGAGGTCAGTACACATTCGGGTCCTGATTAAGGACGCGGGCAGAAAACAAACTGGGCGAAAATATTCGCTTGCTTGTTTTGGTTTTGTTTTGTTTTATTTTGACTGAGTACACCAAGGTTTTGTGTTTGTTTTTTTACACTTCCTTTTGTGGTATCAGGAATACACTCGGATTTCAGGTACAATCTGGTTCTTGTGGTAAAAGTTCAGCTTTAGTCTATATTTCTATTAATAGACCCAAAACAGCTCAACAGCTGTTAAAGATGGAGAGAAAACTGCCTGCTGACTCAAAGGGGACACCTATCAGTGTAGAAATTTGCAGAGGTGGAACGTTTAAATGACATTGTTTACATGCTTTGAATAATCTCTTGAACTATGTGCCTGTGTCCTGGTGGCCTGACCAGGATTGCAGCTGCTTGCAAACGTACCTTCCGTCTCAAATACTGGATTCTAGTGCATTTCGGGGGCGAATTCAGCAATTAGACTCCCGACAGAGATTGGAATCCAAGAGCCACCCGGCCTCTCCGGGCGCGCGGCATCGCGGGAAGTGGAGTGCGGCGGCAGCCCGGAGCCTCGGGATGCGGGAGGTGAGCGACACTGGGAGGGCAGGGCACCCTTGCAGCTCTGGCCTCCTCCTCGCGGTTCCCGCGGGAGCGAGGGCGCTCGGTCCGTCCCGCTCCCGGCGCGGAGCCCTGCGTGCTGGCCCAGAGACCCGGGGCTGGCTCCTATCCCTGTGCCCCGGCGGCCGAGGAACTTGGTCCTTCTCCGGGACCTTTCGGGCGCTTCCACCTCTTTACATTTGTGTGTTTATTGTCAGTTTTCAGTGAGATAACAAACCAGGTTAGAAACCTCCGGTCCTTTGTTAACAGAGCGCTGGGAAAAGGATAAAGTGTAGAATTAATGCTTGGAAGGAAATAATTAGTTCTTTTCAATTTCTTTGTTGTTTGCCCAGCCGAATGCACGGCTGATGGGGAAAAGAAACGTCTGGGTTTGGGTTTTTGAATTCATCTTATCTTTCATACTTATAAACAATGACGGTAATATTGTAAAATATGCTGACATTTGAGGAGTTGGGGGCAAGAATATATAGAAGTAGGACCGTTAGCCCAAGCTAGGTTAAAAAAAAAAACTTGAGCAGAGATTTAAAAATAGTTAAAAATATTTCTTTTTGTTACACTTTCTAATTTAATTAATTGGGATGAAGTGAGCAGATGAGGTGCTGTTATTGCATTGTGTTGTGAAAAACAGGATGGCAGACCCAGGGGGCACTTTTTTAAGAAAATATGTAACAATCCACTGCCGTTTTGTAAATTCTCTGTGGTGGATGGTTGTAGTTGGTCCTTGAAATTTCAATATAAGTCCTATTTCACATTTAAAATTCCTGTAAATCAGAAACATGAAGCTTAAACTCATGACTGGGCTTGAAATGCATCTTTTAAATTTTTATTTTATAAACTCTTATTCTAAAAAGTTCATTAATTCAAAGCCTTTTATTTTACAGTTGTCTCTATATAGTTTAAATATATCTATTTTGTGTGGTTGTTTATAACAATGAAGTTTGCTTTGCTTCTTGTGATAGTTGTGTTATAGTGCTAAAGAGGTTGCATAGATTTTTTTTTGTTGTTTAAAATAATATCTGACTTAGACATAAAATCAGGGACATGAGCAAGCAAAAAAAAAGTTTTGTTCAAGAAAATAATATGAACCAGACTTAAAATCAGGGTCATGAGCAAACAAGAATTTAAAAAAAAGAAATTAATATGAACTTTTATTTCTTTTAAAATTTTGAACTGCACTTGTTTTAAATAAAAATTTAAAAACATTTTTTATTGTACACAGGAAAAGGACGGTCCTTCACAGCCTGTTCAGGAAGATGATAAGAGTGGAATGGCCCCAGGATGCCTTCTATGTAAAGATCAAGTTAATTTCATGTCTTCTCTGTCTGTCTCTCTCCCTCCCTTCTTACCCCCAATGTGTGTACACTCTTCCTAGTTCGCTCCCCTGGGCTTTCAGCGCTGTTGTTCCTCTGGTTGCTCAAACCAGAAGCAGAGAAATCATCTTTGCTGCTTCTCCTTCTAATCTCCAACGTCCAATTTATCATTGTGTCTTGTGATAAGTGTAAGCCAGTCTAAGCTGTTTTGTGCTAGCCACTATTCTAAATGCAGGTAAACAGTATTGAACAAAACAGAGTCTGTGCCCTCCTAGAGCATGCAGCCTGACACCCAGCCAAAGAAACAGGTTACCGACCAAAGGAGAGTAGGAGGAAGGAAAGGAACAGGATATTGTGATGGAGAATAATTGAGAGTGAAGGAAGGTACTTGGCTTACTTTAGGCAAGGTCCTAGAAGACATACGTGAAAATGTGATACCGAAGCTGAGATGTGAGGGGTGATAGGAGCCAGATGGGTGGAAAGTTGTGGGGAGAAGCAGTCTAAGCATTCAATAGCCAGTGCAGAGACCCTGAGACAGGGAAGAGTTTTACTATTCTGGGACTCATTATAAGGGAAGTCAATCAGAGGAAGCTGATAGAGATCAAATCAGGCAGAGCCCTGTTGTAGACCAAAGCAGAGGTTTTGGGTTTATCGGAGTGCAGACAAGCCAGGCAGAGTGTTGAGCAGACAGAAGACTGAGGTTCTAACTCAGAGAATCAGAGGGTGAATCTCAGCTGGGTGATCTCATGTGAGTTCTTAACCATTCCCAGCCTTGCTATTATTATCCCCTGATAAAGAATGTAACCTCTTAGGGTGGTGATGAAGATTAAATGAGAACATCTGCAGAACACTTAACACTTGGCACTGAAAGATTCACTATGTGGTAACTTTATAAAGAAAATAATATTTAAATATTTAATTTTAAATGCTGTCTTCCCATTTAAATCAGTACTAAGGATAAGTAGAATTTTGGGCTTCATACAATATAATACTTTCTTATTAAAATAACATTATATGTTGTAATTTATCCTGCAGGATTGGACTGGATTTTTTGAAATAAAAAATTATATCTCTGTATTACAGGTATTTAAGAAAGAGTATTATTCAAGTATATAATTAGAAGTATGTCTTGGCTAATGTTCAGTCAGAAAATATCAGTTTCATCATGGAAATTTGCATGTTTATCAGGTTTCATGATCTGAAGTTACTCGTGTTGGAGCCATTTTCCTCCTTTTATGGGCTTTCATGTTACTTAATGAGTGACAATAGGCTTGAAATTTTTAGTGTTTTAGAATTTCGAACACCATTGAGGATAAATGCTCTGTACCCCCAGATATCTGCAACTGAAGTGCAGGTTTCCTAAAGTCAGTGTTTCTCAGATGGTAGCATGGTGATAATCACCTGAACACTACCCTGAGCTCCTGATTCCTGACAAGCCTCAGGTGATGGCCATACTGCTGGTGGCCTGGGGGCCGTGAAACTGCAGCTATACCTCAGTTTATTGTGTTTTGCTTTATTACACTTTACAGGTGTTGCATTTTTTTTTACAAACTGAAGGCAAGACCCTCCACCAGCAAAAACATTACAACTGCCTTTATTGTGATACTTGCTTTATTGGGTGGTTTGGAACCGAGCCTGCAGTTTCTACCAGATATGCTTGCACTGTCTTAAGCCAACAAAGTTGCTCATTGGCTACACAACTATGTGCTGTTCAAGATATAACTCTGTTTTATATGTATCCTCTAATATTTTCACACTGAGTTATTGATAATGGTAGTTAGAAATGTTACTATGAAATAAATGTTCTTAGGGAAAATAGTAATTTGCAAACTATCAACTTTTCAGCTTCAATCACTTATTATTGATGCATTCCATGGTAAAGGATTTCAGAAAATAAAGGAATATTTTCAACAGAAAGTGAGCCACATTCCTCAAAAATATAATCATCTTGTATTATACCATCTTGACAAATCAATAAATAAGGCAAGTAAGTTGTTTTGTTTTTTTGACCAGAATACCAAATATATAATTATACTTTGTAAAGCTTTCCTCCAGTTTTGCTGAGATGTAATTAACATACAGCACTGTGTAAGTTCAAGGTGTGTAGCATTGAATTTTGACGTATGGGTGTGAAATGATTGCCACAATAAGTTCAGTTAACATCTGTTATATAATACAAAAAAAAGAAAATTTAAAAATAAGTTTTTTTTTCTTTGTGATGAGAACACTTAAGATCTACTCTCAACTTTCACCATAAGACTTTTAACTTAGTGTGGTCTCATACCTAGGAACTGGACAAAAGTGAGTTTCAGTATGTTTCACTGTTGCTGAAATGTATTCAGCGGTTCTTCATTGATGGCCTCAAAGAAGATGAGCCTTTGCTAATTCAGCAGGGACTGATCCCAAAGATAAGTTATGTTTTAATTTTGTATGGCTTTGGGTAACTTAAAGAACTAGAGAGGATTCAGTAATCTAGGTAAGTTTGGTATTTTCTCTTCCTTTAAAATCAAATTTGGAAAGAAACTGGTAACAGTATTTATTGCTCACATCCAGTCAAAGATCGAGTTCAGCATATGTTTCCTGGTGTGTGTGCTGGGCAGGAGTCAGACACCACACCTTTCTCCCCTTGAGGAGCCAAAGCAGGAATCACACATTTTTATTATTTTAGTGAATTTGACTTAGGAATATAGGATGAGTAGGTAGTGGACTACTCATTTCCACACTTCTCCCTGCAAACCCTGCAAAGGCTCTATAAGTATTTTAATACATATTAATAACAAGATTGGACCTAAGTGATCAAATACTTCCCCTTGCCACATCCCACTTTTCCAACTTTCTAAAATCTCAGTTAAAGCTGAAAAAACAAATGGCAAAAACATTGTTTATTTTTTCTAAGTCACCCCAATTATGAAATTCTGTTCTGTCTTTTAATTAACTAGTAGGTAATATTCTGAGGACCTGGCATCTGGACCCAGCAGAGCTTGCAAAAACTGGCTGCAGTTCCCTTTTCATGATGAGATTTTTCAGTCCTGAGACAAGTATTGGGGAGGAGATGGGAGGAGGCAGAGGGGCAGAAGGGTGATGTGGCTGGTAATAACATCTTTGCTTTACCCCCTGGACTCTACTGCCTAAAATGTGTTATCATCTGGTTGTGTCAAGGAGATTTGTCTCTGCCTTTTTTTTATAACTCAAAAACACTTCTCTGCAGCTGCCTCTCCAGGGGAGAAAGAATAAACACAGATTTCCCCTAAGTCTTCTCAGGGTTGGGAAGCTGGTGGGGGGAAACTAAGTGCTCAAGTAGTGCTCAGGTGCTCAGTATACAAACTGTGTATTTCATTTTGCATTTAGCTTCACCTAACTCCCTGATACACACTCATGCAAGTAATAGGAAGTAGAGAAGAGAAAAATCAAACTTTAAAGGAAATGGAGCAGGATTTCCCAGGGGTACCTTGGAACCTTAAGCTGGTTATTGGGGGCATGAGTTGCCATCCGCCCCAACCAGAATTTCCCATTTTGATTTAAGAATGCCCTCCCAAAGGTTTAAAGTATCAGACCAGATCTCCACTGGAGTCTTGAAATCATAGAAATTTCTATATTCCATTGGCATTCTGATTAATGATGGAGATTTCATAACCATAATTTAGATACATTTAAAGCAAGTGCTGTTTCACTTACATTTTGGCCAAGAAGAGGAGACTGATATCAAAGTGGATGGGATATTAGATTCTGTACTTGTAAACCCAGTTGTGTTTTCAGGTCAGTATAAAATGTGCTGGGGTGTTACTCTCCACAGAATAAGAATTCCCTACAGAAAGGAATGTATTTAGTCCTGTACCCTAAGATCCAGGAGTATTAAACACCTTGTCGTATACCATATACATAATGAATAGTAGCTACTGCATCTGTAAATTACTATTTGTCTGGGCCTCTGGTAACAACACAGCTATGGAGGGCAGTTGGTCTTTTCTGTTAGACAATGTATGACCATAGCATATACGTGGGTTCAGGAATGACTTCCTGGTCCCAAGCCTTCATAAAATAGTGTGGCATTTCCCCCACTTCTTTGTATCTCTACTCAACCAATATATTTTTGTGGGCTGGGAAGGGGGAAAATTGGGGGGAATAAATGGAGTAGTGGCAAAAATGTATTTAAAAGGCATAGAATTTTGAGTATGAATATAGGGAAGAGAAACTATCCCCTTAGCAGTGAGTTCTGCTCTATAGAGGCACATGTCTTTCCTCTGGCTGTCGGAGAAAAGGTTGCTTCAGAAGTGAATAATCATCTAGTCTAATACAAATATTTGTCTGATTTGAGATAAAAGAACCATTACTTGGAACCTAGTAGTGGCTCCAACCTGTTGTGCATTAGAATCACCTGGAGGACTTTAACAAGCGCTACCCAGGTACATCAGCAGAGATTCTGATTTGCTGGGTCCGCAGGGGTCCTAGGCATGAGGGTGTTCCATAGCTCCTGGGGCTTCTCCTAAGGTGCAGCACATGGCGAGAGCTGATTGATTTGTTCATGGTCTTTATCTGGGGTGCCTTGTATTCTTGGCTCCAAATTGAACAGTGTCCAAGGCTCTGCTCCTGATAAAAGTGGATCACCATGAACTTATTTTACTGACTTTGTGTTCAACTGTTAATTTCTAACTATGCATGCAGAATTTTTCTTCTCTTTTTCTTTTTTCTTTTTTATTAAGAGTGACCAGTCTCAGCAGCAATGGCCCAAAGATTTACTGAATAAATATATTGTAGGAGGATTTATGGTAGTTTATTTTAAATTATAGCAATGTTAGCAATTTAATATGAGCTTTAAAGATATATGTCCTTATGGAAAGGAAAAAGTCTCAAGTGGCTTTTGCTACTTTTGGCAAAAGAAAGGTAGTGAGACATTGGCATGTTTACTGTACTACATGCACTTTTGGAGCACATTCGACATTCTGCATCTCCTTTGACAGCTCGTCTTCTACAGCTTCCCAGAGGACAGGAACTTCTGTGTTGGGAGGCCCATTTTTGTCCTCACCCTTCCTCACTAGCCCCTTATTCTAGCCTTGCTTCATGGCCAAATGGAAACCATTCTTGCTGGTGTCTGAGAATTTACTTATTGTGACTCTGTGTAGCAGTATGATTACATCCTGGAGTGTTCTAGATGGAGGCCTCGGAGCCAGGCCTAACTGAACTTGGTGATGGAATGGAAAAAGGTCTTTAAAATTATTTTTCTCTAGTGAAAGAATTATCTCATGAAATGTTACCGAATAGGAAGTAGTTATGCAGTCATGGGGGTTCCACCTGTATTTCTTCTTTTGTGTACATGGTTACCTGGTTTGAAAGAACAGTAGGATTTCTGACCGTAGAAGATCTAGCTTCAGATACATCACTGAAGAATGTTACAGAAGACTTCTTTGATGCAGCACTGGTAAGGATGGGGGTGGATGATTCTCTGAACAGATGCCATTGGTAATTTGCAGGAATCTTTGCATTATTTCTAAAACTTGAATTTTTCTAAGATTGGGTTTTACTAAAAAACTCCCATATTTTATTATTAGAATATTATATGAGATAGAAACAAACAATATAGATAACCAATATTATAGAAAGATGAGGTGTTTTATTCTCATACATACCAATCCAATATATTATTATTCACCTGATAATAATATACTGATTTTAATAAAGTGATTGAAGTTCACATAGGATTTCTCTAATTTTTTTCTACTGTGTTTATAGTCAACTCCTGCCTGTTAGAGAAATATCAGCATTAATGTATTAACATTATAGTTTACAATACTTTTTAAAAATCATGCAAGCCTCACTTTTTCTTCTTTTTATTAGATTATTTCCAGGAGGAGTAGTAAAGGTAAGTGTATTACTAACACTAATTGGCTATTTACTTTTCATTAATAGACTATTCTGGTATAGAGAGAATATTTGTCTATGTGATATATAAAAATAAAGTGGGTTTAATTAATGTTTGGATTTATTGACCCTCTATGCGATTCATGTTGTGATGTTGAACTGAAAGTTTGTTGTAAAATATGTCTCAGTTTGCCTGAGGTCCATCTTAATTTAGCTGCTCCAATCGCCATTGACCACCCTGCTCCATTCTGGTGTACAGAGCCATCTTTGTCATTCCCAAGCAGCAAAGGCTGAGCTGTTACTGATTTAACCTGGAGCTGATGCCTTCTCTGTCTTTCAAGAGTCTAAAAGGCAAATTGTTAGAATATTTGGCAGTTAGATTGCTGATTCTGTTCCAGGTACTCAAGTTAAAGGTAATTTGATATCTTGAATTATACTATGGATTCAAAAATATTGGAACGTTCAGAAATTGACATCGTCTTAAATTTGGTATGTCCTCTTCCTATTGTTTGTCTTTTTATTTGTCTCTTGAGAAGCTGTTACTAAATTGATATTACATTCTACAATGGATATCATCTCACAGTTGAGGAAATTCAGTGCTAGAAACCTACATGTACATGGTGCTTAGTTGATTTTTTTAAAGGTCCTCCTATTTTTAGTAAGTGGATCCAAATACTTTCAAGTAAATTTCTTATGACCTTCATAAGTGATAGTTAATGTCTCTAAAAGTGATTAATACAATACACAATGGTTAAAAACTATTCTGATTTTTGTAACACTTAAAAATAAACTTGTCATATTAATTACAGCAGTGTATATCACTGCATATTTGAGAAAAATACATATGAGAGAGATCTATTCAGTCTACCATTGTTGTTCGGCCCACTTAGGGGTTCCTGTCTGTACGCCGACTCCATTGTTCCAGTGGAGGCAGCACTGCTCTAGGTGACTGACTGTATCAGTCAGCTTGGGCTGCCACAGCAAAATACCAAAGGCTCAGTGGCTTCAACAACAGGAATTTATTTTCTCACACTTCTGGAGGTTGGAAATCTGAGGTTGGGGTTCCAGCATGTTGGGTTCTGGTAAGAATCCCCTTTCTGGCTTGCAGATGGCCACCTTCTTGCTATGTCCTCACATGGCATATGTCAGAGAGCAAGCCAACTCTCTGGTATCTCATCTTTTTATAAGTTTTTTAAAAGATTTTGTTTATTTACTTTTAAAGAGATGGGTAGGGAAGGAGAGAGGGAGAGAAACATCAATGGGTGAGTGAGAGAGATATCGATCTGTTGCCTCTCACATTCACCCAACTGGAGACCTGGCCCACAAGCCAGGCATGTGCTCTGACTGGGCATTGAACAGGCAACCTTTTGGTTTGCAGGCTGGTGCTCAGTCCACTGAGCCACACCAGCCAGGGCTGGTATCTCATCTTATATAAAGATAGTAATCTCATCATGAAGACCCCACCCTCATGACTGCATCTAACCCTAATCACCTTTTCAAAGGAGCCCATTTCAAATACCATCACACTGAGGCTGGGGCTTCAACCTATTCATTTGGAGGGGAATGGTGTAGCAATGACAGTTTGTGGTTGGAGCCCACCCTGGCCACATTAGGATGGCTGACCTCTCTGAACAAGTCAGACTTTCACATGTGGCTCTGACAGTCATCTTGCATGGATGGCGTTATGTCTAGGCTCCACAGAGTTGAGAGCTAATCTCTCTCTCTTTTTTAAAAATATTTTATTTATTTATTTTTAGAGAGGAAGGGAAGGAGAGAAAGAGAGAAATATCAATGTACAGTTGCTTCTTGTGCGTCCCCTGCTGGGAACTGGCCTGCAACCCAGGCATGTGCCCTGACCGGGAATCGAACTGTGATCATGTGGTTCTCAGGCCCACGCACAATCCACTGAGCTACACCAGCCAGGACTTTCTTTTTTTTTTGAAGTACAAAAATGTTTTCACTGACTTTCCCATCTCCTCTTGCCATTGATGGAATTAATATTCCTTTTTCCACCAAGATTTATGTCTTCTTATTAAATATATTCCATTTTATGATTGCTTTGTTTTGTGCTTTACTATGTGGATTCTATTTTCTTTCACAATTTGCTTCTCTCTAGTGATTTGAATGGCTTATGTTTGAGTTACATTATACTGGTAGTTACTCTTAGTTTAATTATCAACATCAAAATTATAGCACCTCATTTTTTCTTTATATTATATAACAAGGAATTCAACATGTTTTTATTCCTTCTCCAGCTTTAACCCACATTAATTTAATCTGGGGTTTTAGGCCTGGATTAGGTATATATCTTTGTAAACAGGATTTGCTCTTTGCCTTGTATTGCAGGCCTATTTACAATAATTGTGTAGGGGTCACTACCAACCTGTTTATATCATGATGTCCTTATCCTTAGTCTTGAGTTCTTTGTTCTGCTTTATCTCCAATGCAATATTATCTTTGGAAGAGTGTCATTGGGGTGTGTAGGTTGGACATGGTCAGAGCTTGTTATCATTTAAGAAAGTCTTTGTGGCTTTTATACACTATAACTCCTGCTTTGCAATTTCTCCCCCTCAAAACTCTTGTTTCATTGTCTTCTAATATTAAGTGTTGGAAGGGTGTATACACATTTGTTTTAGGTGGTTCATGCTGAGTTACCTCAAAGTCAGATCTTACTTAGCTTGGGGAATTTTATTCTTTGATAATTGTATGAGTTAAAGCCAGGTTTCTCACCTTTGACACTGTTGACCTTTAGGGACAGATCATTTTTTTCGGGGAAGGGGTGGTTTACTGTCCTGTACATTTAGGATGTTTATCAGCCTTCCTAGCCTTTACCCAGGTGCTAATAGCAGCCCCTCCCACTTCTGCAGTTGTGATAAGAAAAAAAAAAGTCTCCAGAAATTGCTAAGTGCCCCTTGGGTGGAGGAGGGGGCAAAAATCACCTCTAATTGAAAAACACAGAGGTAAAGTGTTTTCCATGTGTGTAACATAGTAGTATCTAGTTCATGTAGTCTTGAATGATAAAGATGTTTATAGGCACAGGAGCCAAAAAGGCCAGAGGTAGGTAGTTCCAGGGGCACTTTGGTTGTGGCTGTGCTGCATGTGCTGCAGTTCTTTCAATTCTGCCTTTCTTGTATTTGCTCTTAAGTTGGTGTCCCTTGCTGGTTGTTAGGTGGTGGCCAGTAACCAGAGCTTTGTGCTTTCTGCTTCACATCCAGGGGAAGAAAATTTCTTTTTCCTCAACCATCAAAAGAAAGCCATAGCTTTGCTCTAATTGGACACCCCCACCCCTTAATGAACCAATCACTATGAAAACATGCAATGATATCCCAGCATAACTTAAGCCAATCTGTCCCACCCGATAGCATGGCAGCCATATAACAGGAGGGGGAAGGGAGAGGGGAGGCAGCAGAAAGTCCTTTATGAGAGCAGATCCCCAAAATGTAATTTATGTATAGAAAATTGTGTATTTATTTTTACATGTTTAATCCTCACTCACCTTCAGCATACTCTCCATTTGATGCAATACACCTATTGAGATGCAAAACACTTACATTTTTCCACTGCTCAAAACAGTATTTTGATGCCTTTTAGTGCCTCTGTAGGTTTTTTCCACATCAGCAAAAATGTTTCCCTTTGAGGACCTTTTCATCCAGGGAAACAAAAAATGTCTCTGGGGTGAGATTCAGTGAGTAGGGAGGGTTGAGCATGGAGGTCATACCTTTTATGGTCAAAAACTGCTATGTACTCAGCATGGTATGGGCACGTGTGCTTGTAAATCACCCATCATGACATGGGCAAACACATTGAAAGAATCTTCAGAAACATTCACTGATGCCAAATGCAGCCTCTCATAACAATGCCAGCTGGTGCACTGATACAAATGGGTTCCTAGAATACTCACCTGCTGGGGGAAGCCTGTACTACAAGGCCCCCACCTCTAGAAAATAATTCCATCGTTTGGGGTACTCCCTCTAGTACAATTACTCCTTCTAGTCTCTATGTAAGGTTATTATTCATTCATTACATCTTTTCTGTCTTCACATGCATTGGTTTGCATTGGTTTCTGTCATTTTTCCCCATGTATTTTGAGAACAGTTTCTAAGTTTTTCTTAGAAGCTATCAGTTAACTAATTCTGTTCTCATTGCTTCCAGTACAGTCTTGAATTCTGCTATTACATCTTTGCTTCCTTGAAAGTTCTGGGTGGTGGTGATCTGCCTCTGCTTTTACATCCATTTCCCACTCTTTCTCTCGTTCTACTTTCTATTACAGAGAACTATTTTTTCTAGGTTTTCTTATCAACTGGTTGCCTGCTAGGTTTAGCCAATGGAAAGAAATCCGAAGCAGCCAGGAACAAAGAAGGCATTTCTCCCTCTCTGTTCCACAGAGGTGCCATCTCCAGGAGTGACCACATAGTCTCTGCGGCTCTGGCCCATTTGTGTTACAGCTTTTGCTAGGTGACCTTGATTCCTGGGGTCTGACAATACTACTTTCTCCAAGTGACTTTGGGGGTGGGGTGGCACACTGGGAGGGGCCTGGGAGTCCTGTTAACGATGTTAATTGCTCAACCACATCGGTGTTTCCAATTTGGCTTCACAGCTTTTAAAAATTACCTTTGTCATTAATTTACTGTATTAAATTCCCTCAGATTGAAATATCAGACTGGCTTTAATTTTCATATTATGTATTTCTTTCTCATTTACAGTTGTATTATCTATATTCATCTTAGACTGTTACCTTTTCTTGAAGATCTGTTTTTTTATCCCATAGAATTCATGTTCTTCTGAGGTTTGAGATTATAAATCAGATGCCTCAAAAATTTTTGTTTCCTGAAATAAGCATATTTTCCAGTCATTCTGCTACCGCTTGACTTCAACTGCTTCTCTTTCCTTTTTCATTGGGCAATGTTCGTTAGTTTTTCTTTATTACCCTTTAAATGAAAAGGTCTAACGATGGCTGATATTTGCTAATAGGCTGCATAAGTATCTTTAGGATCCCTCCCTGTCAACCTAGGTTCTGTTAGAATCTTTGTCCAGTTTTAAGCTGACAGGCAAATTGTTGCCACAGCCCCTAGCCAAATACCTGGTTTCCAGAGATTATCTAGCAGTATTGATCTGGCTGCTTTGGGACTGAATAGGGATCTTTTAAATTTCTATTTTCTGGCTTGGGTTCCTATAGTTTCATGAGTTACACGGGGGTTTAAAAGTATATGAGATGTGATGAATAATTCATATATCAAAACTGCACTTCTGAGCCTGTCAAAATAATACTATGATCTTAGTGTAAGTTTTTGCAATGTATGCTACTGGTGCCATTTCATATCTTAATATGCTTAAGTAAAATCAAAATAATAGTTCATTTAATAAGCATAAAAATTACTGCATAGCTTTTCAAGTTTCTGTGCTTATGTTATTTAATAAAGGCCAACACTTAAAAAAATCCCACTTCTGTTAGTATAAGACCTTATAAAATTTTAATTTTTATGAAACACATAAATGTAAGAAACAGCAGGGCACTCCATGAGGAATTGAGCTTTGCATGTGGCTCAGTCTGGACAGAAAAGCTTTGTTTGAGCTGTGACCATCATAACAGCACACTTGGCACATGCCGTTCCTACTTTCCTTGGTGGGATCTATGCAGTGCAAAGGTGCTATGGCCTGGTGGTTTCTGGACCTTGAAGCAGGCTGCTATTTGTCTCTTGCCCTAACTATATAGCTTCCTAAATGTTTACTGCTCTCATGCCTTTTCCAGTCTTGTCTCTCCTTATTCTTTCTAGCATCAGTTTGATTGTCTTAAAATTATGCTTTCAGGGACAATTCAGATGTTGGGTTCCTTCATGTCTACCTTAGGATTTCTGGTGACAGAAAAGGCAGTAAATCATTTGATTCAGCAAGAGGTGAGTTGCAAATAACAAAACAGAAACCTGGGAGAAGGCTATGCACCATTCCTGTTTGTTTCTTCCTCTTGAATGCCTTTCTTCAACTCGGACCAGGCTTTGAAGACTCTGAACAGCATTTTGCATGCCGTACCTCGGGAGGAGAGAAAACAACTCCCCTCGTCAGAAGGAGTGCGTCAGCTTATGTAAGTGACCTTGTACTTAACTGTGTGATGATGTAAAGGCAAAATATCTCCGACTGAACCGCCTCAGTCTTTGTTCTCCTTAGGCCTGATTGCATCATTCCTTCCTTCAGGAAATGCTGTTCTTATTGTCTTATGCTAAACAATGAAGAAGGACTGAAGAAAAAAGCCAGACTTTGCTAAGCTCTTCTTTTTTTAGCACTATGACTTTTTGACTTTTTTCCATCAAATTTGTGAGGTAAAAAGCTTCCTTGGGCTATAGATTAATTTTTCACTGTGTGAACTAAATTAGTTATTTATGGGGTAATGCTGAGTACAAATCTTGCTGGTAAATTGCTTGGCTTCAGACCCTGGTTTTGCCATTTATGCTCATTGCACTATTTAGAGCACAGTCTTAACCTCACTGTGTCTCAGTTTGCTTGCCTGTGAAATGAAGCCAACATTAAATATACCTGATGGATAGGTATGTACCAGGTAAATCAGGCAATATATTGAAAATGATGCACACATTACCTGGCAGAGAGCAAATGCCCAAAGGTTACCAACTATTAGCTATACCATAGTGCTTAGAATTTGTGTTGCTTTTCAAGTGATAGATTTTTAAAAAATCCTCACTTAAGGACTTTTTAAAATTGTTTTTAGAGATAGAGGAAAGGCAGGAGAGAGTAAGGAAGAGAGAGAAAAACATCAATGTGAGAGACAAACATTGACTGGTTGCCTTTTGGGGGCTCCCCAACCTGGGGATCAACCCCACAACCTAGGTACATGTGCTGACTAGGAATCAAACCTGCAATCTTTCAGTGTACAGGATGATGCTTCAACCAACTGAGCCGCACTGGCCAGGGCTCAAGTGATTGATGTTTTTGTGTTTTGGTGCCCCAGTCACAATTATGTAGTTTTGGGACATTGAAATTTGGAGGTAGAGTTGTTATGCGTGAAGATGGAAGAAAACAAGCACCCTATTTTGAAATTTTAACCTAAAACCATGACTGTGAGCTAACCACTGACACACACTGATGACACTGTTGGTAGCACCCAGTGATTCATGGGACATGCAGCCATAACTGCATGAGGACAGGTGACCAGGTTTACCATAATGTAGGCCTGAGAGGGGACTGGTGAACATGGGGCTCATTGATGTCATGTTTGTCCATTTAACAAGTCTGTGCAGGATTCAGTTTTTTGCACTGAATTTTTCCTAAAAAATATTTATTGAATACATTAGCAAAATCATGATTCTTAGTAGTGTATTTAGACTTGGAGAGTAGCTGACTGGAATTTTCTCATAAGTGTTCAATCTAGTCCTATGGTCTTATCTTATTGCTTGTGTGTTCTAGCAAGTCTGGAATATTTTAGACTTCAAGTAAAATGTGCAAGTATAAAATTATGCAGAACTCTCAGTGGTGCTGTTTTAAGGCTTCTACTTAGCAGTAACAAATCAATTGTTTATTATGAGAAACTGAACTACTACAAGATTTATTAAGTTTCTTAACAAATGTGTTAAAATGAGAGTTATTTCAAACATTAAAAAAGATCTACATCACATTTGTTAGCATTTAATTAAAATTGTTAAAGAAACACAGATGCTCCTTGACTTGCAATGAGGCTACGTCCCATTAAACCCATGGTAACTGAATATATTTTAAGTAAAAATTGCAGTGAATATACCTAACCTACTGAACATCACAGTTTAGCCTAGTTTACCTTAAACATGCTTAGCACACTTATGTTAATCTAAAGTTGGGCACAATTATCTAACACAAAGCCTATTTTATGATCAAGTGTTGAATATTTCATGTTATTTATTATGTGTATCATTTTTCATCATCGTGAAGTTGAAAAATCATAAGTCAGAGACAATCTGCATACAAAATGGGAGTCTCTTTTTGTTACAATAATGTAATAACTTAGTTTTAAAAATAAGTTAAAAAAGCTTATTGCACCTATTATTAATATTTCTCTGCACCTATTGTTAATATTTCTTCCTGATGTTAAACTATGTAAAAAAGGGGCACACATCCCAACAAGGCTGGCAAGGTGATTATAAAATTCTAGACTCTTTGTTGAATCCTCAAAGGCCATCAAATTGAATTTGCTTTACAGAGGGAGGGGTAGAACCACAGCTTTTTTTGAACAAAACAAAACAAAATAAAACAAAACATTTAAGTCCTTAACATATAAACTTGAGAAAATGTTCTCATTAAAATCTATTTTTGACATAGAAAAAGTGCTGATGCTGAATTTGAAATAAGTAATTTAAAAAATATACATGTTGGTTTAAAATTTTAATGCAAATATAGTGAAGTTTGCCTATTTAGGTTGATTTCAGTAACATGCAGTTTATCTAAATGTTTTTCAGGAAAGATCTCTCAAGGACACTTTTCACTGTGGGTGGTAAGAAATGTTTAGAATTTTAAATATAATAATGTTAAATATTGGACATTAGGGTTTTATGAGCATTTTGGAACTATGGAAAATAAATTATGGCCAAACTGGAAATAGAAATTAAGATTTTGTTTTTGATTTATTATGAGAAATTTCAGTATGCTGAAAAACATAAAAAATAATTAATGAATACTCATACTCACCAATGAGCTTAGTCAAATTTTATCATTTTGTTACATTTGGTTAGTTTTTAAAACTAATCTGTGCCCATGACCCTCATCTCAGTCTCCTCTCCACTGGTGGAAGGGTGGTCCTTGACTTGGACTTGGTTTTCCTGTCTAAGTATATTGTTCTACTTTTTCACTGTGTATTCAAAAGCAACATACATGATTGTTTTGCAGATTTTAAAAGCATTTTATAAATTTCATTCTGTTGTACCTATCCAGCTGCAACTTTCTTTTTGTCCTTAAAATTGAGATTTAAACATGTAGATATATGTAGTTTTTGTGTTTCTGCTGTGAAATGCCACAATTGATGTGAAGACAATCTTTCCAGTAGAAATATTTTTGAAAGGCTATTTGAAGAGATGTTTCTGATGGATGTTTTTATATATATAATATAAAATACAGAAATATAGTTCATTGAAGTTATTATGTGCTGACATACCGTTTAGATATTCTAATGGTTCTTAAATGTTTAATTTAAATAACTATAATTACTCTGAGATACATCTCGCTGCTAATAAGACACAATATTAGTCTTTTAAAGTGGGATTTCTTTGAGTGGGTGCTAATCTCTGGAACTCATTTCTTCCTTTGCTTTGTGTCCAGAATTGTCCATATTTTTAATCTCTAGATTATGGTCAGCAGGTTGCTCTTTCTGAAGCATTGTGTAGACTGACAACTAAAACATCAAGAGATGACCTTGTCCATCAGTGGTTTGAAGATGATGTTATTGCTGAAGCTTTCAAAAAAATTAAGGATCGAGAATTTGAGACGGTGCGATTCCTGGTCCTCAAAATTCCATTTAGTTTGTATTTACTAAGCATCCTCTCAGCAATTCCCTGTGATTAAGGGAGGGTTTTTTCCTCATTTGTGCTTAAGTTACCATTTTTAAACTTCCTTTTTCCCACCTATGTGAAACAATTTGAGGACAGTACAAATAAAATATTTGTGGGTCAAATGTGTGGATACAGATAGGACTTCTTTATAGGTAACTTAGAAGTTACTATATGTGAATTTGATGGATCCAGGAAGAGAAAATGTCATCGGGTGGGGGAGCAGTTATTCAATGAACCTCAAAGGGTGGGTAGAGATGGAGGAGAATAGAAAGTGAATTTCAGCCTTGCAGAGAGCAGCTGGTGAGATAACGGGAGGCTTACATTGGCATCCTGAACTCTAGTGGTAGAGGAGTAACACAGGGTGTTTGTGTTGGGACACTTTGGAGGGACAGTAATTTTCAGTGCATCCCATGAACCTGGGTTCACTGTGATTGTCTCCTCGAGTAGCACAAAAATAGCTTATGGCTTTGTTTCATGCTCACCTTCATCTTAAATAGCTAAAATGTTTTCTCTTTGTAAAAGTTCTGAAAATGAGGGTTGGACACTTAGGAAAAGGTAATGAACAAAGACTCTTAGGTTTAAACAGTTGTGCAATTAGGATTCTATTAAATCCAAACCTTTAAATATCATTAAATATATTACAATTGACTTTGAGCCTGTTGCCAGATCTGCAATAGTTAGGATTCAGCTTGTTTTAAATGGAAAGACCATGAGCCCTGGGAGTCCCCACTCCATGATTTATATATATTTTGATGTTTGCATTTTGGCAAGTTTACTTACAAAACCCAAGTGTCCTCATCTATAAAGTGGAAATGAAACTGACCTCAACATTTGGAGAATTAAATGAGAGAAAATGGAAGTGCCAGGAATGTTTCTTTTCTCCTCTGTGTCACTCCCTCATCTGCATGGAAATTTGGTGAGAATAGGACAAAAGTAATTATCTTGTTTTTCAAATCATACCCCCAACTCCAGAGCTATCAACTTCTTAATTGAACTGCTTGCATCTAAAGGCTCACATTCCTGTTGTCTATTTAGTGCTCAATATAGACACAGAATGCAAGACTCAATACTATCAACAGCCGGTCCTCAATGGCAAAAACCTGGATCAGTCTCTCCTTGGCTTTTGAATTCTGGAAGCAACAAATTTACCTTCCTAATAGGTGTAAGATTGGAGAGCTCTAAAAATATTCTTCATTGTTAGAGCATATACTGGAAGAGAAAATCCAGGAAGTAGCATGTAGGGTGTTCTGGGTAAGGAAAATGGCAGGTGATGTGTAAGTTTTATGGGTTTGTGATTGGCTTGTGCTGGACAGATGGGTTTGTGATTGGACAGATGTTAGGGAGATGGATGCCCAGTGGGTTAGTCAAATACCGTAATCTACTTCATCAGTAAGATGTGGTTTCTACTGCTACTTTTCTAACCAAGGGATACATAATTGTGCATGGAACTTTGAGAGATCTACACATTCCTCAGCTGAAAATCTCCTGGCTCAGGGATTCCTTCTAGAACATAATGTCTGGGGCCTCCTCTTTTGACATAAAGTATTGTTTTAGTTAACATGTAATAATGAATCTCTGTGAAGCCTTGTGATGTTACTAGATACTAGAAATTTTGAGGCAAACACTGGCTTCTAACATGCTGGTGAGGAAAGTACTATTTAACTAAGTCATCTTGATGTTTTATTTAAAAGTTTGTATTATTTACTTTGAAGGACAGTAGACTGTTTCTTAATTACCTGAACAACAGACTTGGTGACCAAAGAAGGTAAGATGTTTCTCTGAGCCTTATTTTATTGACTAATTATATCCTGAAAATGTTTAATATAAAATAATCCAGGATCTATTTTATAATATTTTGGGACAGAGTATACTGCATACTACTGAGTTATTTATTGCATAGAAACCTTAGATTAGATGCATTCTGCCTATTGACTTATTTGTGTGTTTAAAAATAATCTCTATCGGCCCTGGCTGGTGTGGCTCAGTGGATGTGAGTACTTGCCAGTTCAATTCCTTGTCATGTACATATCTGGGTTGTTGGCCAGGTTCTCACTGGCAGCAAGCAAGAGACAAGCAATTGATGTTTCTCTCCTTTTCTTTCTCCCTCCCTTCTCCTCTCTGAAATTTACTGTAGATTAAAAAAATAATCTCTATCAGTCTTTTAGCATATTTATGATTTGGAATATTTTTAATATTACATCCTCTGGGAAGAGTTTATGAAGAGTGATTTTCTACAGTCTTGAGGTCACAAGGGGAAGGCGTATTATGGACAGTAAAGTCCATGATGGGAAGATATTTGCTAAATTCACTCCTTTCATTGGTAATTTTGCCAAGTGACTGGGCTGAGGTATAGTACCAATGAACCTGGCTTGTAGACTGCCAGATGGAGACTTGGGATCTAGCCATAGAAGATCCCCATTGCAGAGTTGAGGTCCCCTTCTATATCTTGTATAAGGAGACTTGATGGCATACCCTCTTCATAAATGCTTGTTTGTAGAACATCTGTAGGCTGTGCTTGGGTTCCACCCATCTTTTCACTTTTTAATTGTGAATTGTTTTACAGGGTCTATTCATTTCCATGTATTGCGGCTTTTGCTGATGGGCATGAGGTATGTTTCTATTTCCTGGGGGTAGTGAGGGTGGTATGTGATGAAACTCAGAGTTAGGTTTGCTCAGTAAGTGGCCATGCTGCTCTTGCCACTCAGAAGAGCTTTGTAGAAAAGGCAGCTCACTTCTGGTTGAGGCCTCAACTCTGAAGCTCATTGTCCCTTTCCTCTGTCTTCTCATACTGTAACTAGGGTGCATTACCATTGAGTTTAAGGGTCCTATTGTTACTACTAGATAAAGAAATTTTAGGGTTTATATCCATTCATGTGCTCAACTACAGAAATTTTAGGGTTTATATGCATTCATGTGCTCAACTACAGGAACCTTATTTTACTGTGTTAGTGGGTAACATTCACATCTAGGTAAAAGGGAAAAAGACAATTATTTTGCTTCTTTCCACACAGTTGATGCTTCTTACTCCAGCCACAGCAATTGGGGCCATTTTCCTTTTCATAAGTAATTCTACTATGTACTTCATAGTCCAAACTTGAGCATCCTCTTTTTACTCCTTCCTTTGATTTCTAAAGGAACAAGGTCCTTCATGTATAGGCATCCCAATCTGCAACATCTCAATTTTGGTGTAAAATCTCAAAAGATCTTTGAACTTTGACCTTGTTGGAGGTTTTCTTAACCATGTCTTCAGAGTTTCCTAATTAATAATTTCTTTGTTTGGGTTCCGTACCTGTGCTTGGTCTCTGTGAACTGTGTCTGCAACTCATGACTACTCTGTAAATTCCTCTCTAGAACTGATTTTGATGGCTTGATTCCCATATCTGTATTCTACTTTTCCTTCTAATTGTCTGAGTGGTTCAATCTCTGCTGGGTTCTTCTTCTTTCTTGGACTTCTAGATTTCCGTCAGCTGCAGTCAGGGTCTGTCCATTGGATTCCAGTAACATACATTGTAGGTTAAAACTTTTATTCAACTCTATAGCTATAAAAACGTAGGCACATATGATGGAAAGGTGTCCAAGAAATACAATTTATTGGAAAAACAGGAGGTAGAAGAGTAAGTTCAGTGTTTGCTTCATTGTTGTGGAATAAAAACTCTGTATTTCCTGATATATGTCTAGAAAAATCAGGAAAAACTCTGTATTTCCTGATTACATGTCTACAATACGTCTGGGAGAAAACAAAGGCATTGTTAATGGTGCCTATGGGAAGGTACCTATGGGCAGTAAGTAGAGAGGCAGAGAAGGGGAAGCTTGCTGTTTCTATCAACACCATACTGCTTGACTCTTTCTTTTTACTATAAGTATATATTTATTTTATAATAATTAAAATGAAGGTAACTTGAAATCTTCAATCTTAGCTCTATCCTAATAGACAGTAAGTTAGGAGACAAATCACCACTTCTATCTGATCACAGTTCTTTCTTTGCTAGAAGTTTCCATCCGTATGCAGTGTGGATTGTTACTGCTTAAACACAGAACTGTCTTCACTACGGTTTCACTAGGAAAAAAAGTTTGTGTGGATAGAGCCATCTGACATATTTAAATATCTTATTAAATAGCTAACGATAGTAGGATTTTTCATAAATAGTTTAGTTGTATAAAATTGAGATCTTCCTTTTGTTTTGTTGAAATGAGTAAGGCAATAAAGACACTCTATAATATTAGTGTTTTAGGAAAACAGAAGTTCTGTTTTTAATGGAAAAGTTTTCATCTGAACCTTTGACATAATATTTATGTGTGTAATTAATGCTGGAATTGTATCTTACAGATGAGAAAACCAGCAGATGAAAAATTAGAGAAATTTTGGATTGATTTCAACTTAGGAAGTCAGAGTGTAACTTTTTATATAAATAGTACTGAGGTAATCACATTTGATTTCTGTTTAAACTTAAGCACTTAGAGATTGTTCATATGCAAATATGTGTTATGTGCTCATGAATTTCACTTATTTTTCTTCCAAGAGTGCTTTGTGGGACTCAGTAATACTTTTGAAGGAAGAAGTGATTAATTTCAGCATAATAGGTAAGATGATAAACTATTGAACATTTAGTTCAGAGTACTATTTCTGTTCATAGTTGCAGTATGTGTTTAGTCACTTACAGAGAAGACTTGGTGCACTGATGTGGAAGTATAGTGGAAGGAGCAGTGGGTTGGGGGCTAGCTCACTGCTAGGCTCTCTGCAGGGGCACAGGACTGCTGATTTCTTCGCTTTGTGACTTTGGGATATCGTTACTTGCCTAATTTTCTCTACTTGCCTGGTTTTCTCATTGTGAAAATTGTGTAGTTTTTCAAAATATTAAAAATAAAACTACTATGTGATCTACCAATTTCACTTCTGGGTATATATCTGGAAGAATTGAAAATAGGACTTGAACAGATATGAGTATTTATAGACCCATGTTAATTGTAGCATTAGTCACAATACCTAATGTGTGGAAGCTACCTAAGAGCCCATCAGTGGATGAATAGATAAGCAAGATGGGGCGTATACATATGATAGAATATTATTTTAGCTTTAAAAAGGAAAGAAATTCTGACACATGGGACAACATGCATGAACCTTGGGGACATTATGCTTAGTGAAATCAACCAGTCACAAAAACACAAATACTGTATGATTCCACCTATATAAGGTATCTAAAGAAGTCAGATTGATAGAGACTACAGAATGGTTACCAGGGTCTGTGGGGAGGAGAAAGTGGGGATGGTTGTTTAGTGGGTACCATTTCAGGTTTATAAAATGAAAAGGTCCTAGAAGGCAGTTGTACAACGATATATACTTTACACTACTGAACTATACATCTAAGAATTCTTAACATGGCAAATATTATTTTTTGTACCACAATTTAAAAAAATGCATGTAGTACCTGTCCTTCCCTTCCTACATATTTTTAGTAATAATGAGTGTATATGGTTATGTGCCATTTCTGTCTAAATATCATCGCCCTGGCACCCTCCTCTTAAACCTCCATTACTCACCTCTCTTCTCAAATTGGTAGGTAGGTTTGAGGGACATGAAATCAGGAGTGATCCTTTTCTGGGTGGGTACAAGTAACCTATTAGTCCAGTTCAGCATTTCAGCTATACTCACTCTTGAACATCTATCAGGATTCCTAAACTGGGTCTTTAAAAAATGAAAGCATGTTTTTAAAAGTAATTTAGTATGTTTAACATTTTAAAGGTAGTTGGGTTTATTAAAGGTTAAAAACTAAGTGTTATGTGATAATATGGATATTATACTTCACATCTTTCCACAGAGAATTTAGACCAGCTTGCATATTTACACCAAAATAATAAAAATGGAAGATCAATAACACAGACAAGAATAACAAAAACGTCTGCCATGAAGGCTAGTCTAAAGTAGACACCATGGATATTCATATTTGGTGCTCAGCTTCCTGAAAACAGGATGAAAAGTGAAAACCTAATCTGTAATACAATTCTTTCTCATCATACAAGTCCTGGGGAGAACAAAGCCTTCTTAACCTTGAACCTGTAACTGAAGGCTCTCTCATGGACCCCTTAGGATGAGGTAATTCTTTCTCAGCCCTAAGTTTCCCTTAAATTTTTTTGTGTATATAAGCTAAATTCATCATTTTGTTAAATGATAATTTTTGAAAAGATGTAATCATGATCCTCATACAAATTTATTAAATGAATGTGAGTTTCAGATTTTATTTAATTTATTAATTGAGGAAGTCAGTGAGATGTAATAAACACTTCAAAGGAGAATTTAAAACCACACATATATATAAACAATACTGAAATTAGTTTACAAATATATTTAAGACTAGGCAATTGCATTCCACAGACACAATTAATTTGAATTACTAAGGACAAGAATAATTTATATTATTATTAGTTTTCTATAACTCACAGATTTGTGAAATAGCTCAAAGACCATGAAGAGTACAGATAACCCAGGAAGGATTGTAGACAGGCACCCAGGAGCTTTTTGGCCCATTTCAAATGTTTTAGTTTTCTGTATTGGTTCTTTTCAATGCATGTGAGAATTTGTTTTAATGTGCAGCCACTTTTAGTTTCTCCTGTTGGATATTATTGGAAAAAGAGGGAAACTTTGGGACTGTGATATTTGAAGTGGTAAAGCAGATGGCAGAAGAGGAGGAGAGACTTTTCTAGTGGAACTCTGGGAAATGAAGGGAAGATGAAATGAAGGAGCCTAGATTTTGGAACTGTACCAGTTGACCTCTGAGGAGTCTGAGAGTTGGAAGAACTGAGAGAAAGGGTAAAAGAAAACTCTTCACTCACAACACTTCAGACAACAAACGTTGTCAATTCTTAACCTCAATTCTGAGGCTAACTACCTGGAGTTAGTGCAGACCCCACAGGTTGAGGGCTCAGTCCCACAAAACTGCCCCTGCTAATCATAAGGCCCAGATGGCCACCTGTACTTCTGACCAACTAGATACAAACTGGGGTTTCCACAACCTTCTCTTCAGTTTTGATAATTTGCTATAATAGCTCACAGAACTCAGGGAAACACTTATTCAAATTGCCAGTTTATTAAATTAAAGGGTATAGATGAACAGCTAGGTAAAAGAGGTACACAGGGCAAGATCCACATGTGCCCTGAATGCAGGAGCTTCTGTCCCTATAAAATTAAGGTGCTCCATCCTCCAGGACCAAGGATATATTTACCAACTTTGAAGCTCTACCAACCTCTACCTTAGGGATTTTTGTGGAGGCTTTATCACATAGGCATGATAGATTATTAACTAAATCTCTGGCCCCTTTCCCCTGGAGCTTGAGTGGTGGGTCTGAAAGTTCTAACCCTCTAATCATGCCTTAGTCTTTCTGGGACCAGCCCCCATCCTAATGCCATCAGAGATCCTCCAGCCAGCAGTCACCTCGTTAGCATGCAAAAGACATTTGTCACTCAGGGAATGCTAAGAGTCTTAGTTCTTCAGTCAGGAACAGGGGTCAAAGACCAACTATTAGAAGAAAAGGTGCTTCTAGCACTCAGGAAATTACAAAGATTTTAGGAGCTCTGTGTCAGGAACCCAGGCAGAAGCCGAATATATAGTTCTTATTGTGTCACAGATGGGAAAACTTAGCAGTTAAGTAATCACAGAATTGAAAAGACAGGATACACTAGTTGGGAGTACCTCCTATCTCTAGTACAGAGATGCAGGTTATAAATAGCTCACCAGAAATGTAAATTAAGTGTAATCATAAATATAAGTTAAAAACAACTTATGTTGTCATTACCTGTTATTGTAGATGTAGAAAAGATGCTATCCAGAACCCACTTACGATAAAACTCTCAGCGAAGTGGGAATAGAAGGATCATGCTGTTACCAAAACCAGCCAGTGGGGAGGTCCCACCACTTGCTGCTGAACAAGCAAAACTCTGGAGACAGAGTTTGGTGGAAAGGAAAAGGAATCTTTTACTTAATGACCATACCATTTGAAATAAAGGCAAGTTTCTGATTCAAAGCCCATTCCCCCTAAGATATCCAAATAAAATTACCGTCCCACTCTCTGCCAGGCCAGATCAGTTGTAGGCTGCACCCAGAATTCATTTCCCCATTTAAAAATACTGGGAAAATGCAGGTGGCTGCAGCATACTTCTTGTCATGGTTTGCCCCAGGCATCCTTTGGAGTCTGTGTGTACTGGCCGAAGTCCCACTGGTGGCATGCTGCTCCTCCTTGGCTTCTGCCCACCAGTCCAGCACTTGCTCCCTGTCTCTTCAGCATCAGCTTACCAGTTCAGCTGTGCTCCTGGTCAGGCAGGCCTGTACAGCTCTCACTCCAGTCTTCAGTGCTGCTGCAGCTTCTCATGCTTGGAAGGGGTGTGAGGCTAGTGCCCCACCACATGGGTTCCAGGGCCCACCAGCCCCAGCCTCCTTCCCTTGTACCCCACCTGCCCAGTGCCTGCTGTGCTTCTGGCCAGGCAGGCTATGGACACTTGGGGAAGGGTGCTGGGAATGCTTATGGACTATGTGGTCTGCAAAAATCACTGGCCCGGGAACTGAAGCCCCTGGTGTCCGGCCAGACCAGCAAGGCCAGGGGAAAGCAAGAGTTCCTTGTTTTCATACTCTGCTCTTTTAAATATGTCCCCCAGAATACCCTGTGTGATGGAAGCAGATAGGAGGGTATATCCCTCTGTCCAATCACCTCCCTAGCCCGACATGCACCCTGTACACCTCTTCCTGCTGAATTATGATATGTTGCCTTGGTTGACAGGACAACACATGCTCCTTGGCATGACCACACTGTAGCTGCTACTTATGCACAGACCTCTGTGCTTCCCAACCCTGCCCCCATTTCCAGTAGGGGGTCCCCCTATTATAATACCTCAATATAATAAAGGCCACATATGGAAAACCTACAGCCAGCATCACGCTCAATGAGCAAAAACTAAAAGCATTTCCTTTAAGATCAGGAACAAGACAGTGGTGTCTGCTTTCACCTCTCTTGTTCAACATGGTACTGAAATCCTAGCCACAGTGATCAGTCATGAAGAAGAAATAAAAGGCATCCAAACTGTTACTATTAATTTAAGATACATAAAACATTGCTGATGTTGATGTTACTATTAATTTAAGATACATAAAACATTGTTCACTCTAAATGAACATTTTAGAAGAACTTCATGGGTTTTCTGACTAAGGTACCCCTAGCATTGTTTTTTATTGTTTAAGTCCCTGAACTCCAGATGTTGCTACTGTAATGGTTTTCTGGAACCAACTTGCCAAAGTTAGTATAATTTTTTTCCTTCAAAGTTAATATTCTGTACTTCATTAACATATCAGTTTTCTGTGAGATTATGATTTATGGTGTGCCTCACAGTGTCTGAAGGAGGTAGGTATTACTTTTCTATTTTTATAGCCAAGGACACTGAAGATTGTCTAGCAAATTCTCCAAGCAACACCTTAGTTTTGTATGAAACTTCTTGCTAAGAAGTTGGCAGTGTTTTAGTAGTATGTTGAATACTTGGTGTGGCCTTTAGGTAATTTCTTCTGATGCTTGTATGTTTGTGTTGAGCTGTACAACCTAACTAGATGTATACTTTTAGATATTACTTTTATTGCAGTGTTTCATAGACTTTTCCTGTAGTGACTAGATATTCAGCAAGACCAGTATTTTGGGGGATTAATGAGCTTTTTTCTAGGCCAACATTGTCCTATAGAAACATAATATGAGCCACATATTTAATGTTAAATTTTCACATAGCCACATTAAGAAGTTGCTTTAAGTGGACTAATTTTAATAATATACATTTAACTCAACATATAAAAATATCAACTTTCAAACATGTAATGAATATGGAAAATTGATCAGATATTTTACTCTCTTTTTTTGTACTGAGCCTTCACAGATTAATGTGTAATTTATGTTTATGGTGCACTTCAATTTGTACCAGCCGTGTTATAAGTACTCAGTAGCCACAGATCCAGACCTAGGTGTGTCTCACTCTTTTCCTCTTTCCATTCTCAACAGTTTGTGACTTTAGCTTTGCTCACTCTTTCATAGACTGTACTCTTTTTTTCCTCAAGCTGTTTCCAATTCAGCATGCACTTACTGTGGCTTATTCTTGGGCTTCCCTTTAATTTTTTTGTCTAAGCCTGCAATCTTCAATATTTTTCATCTCATGGCACACAGAAACTAATTACTAAAATTTTGTAGCATGCCAAAAAATATGTATTTTGCTCATCTGTCAAAAATGGGTAAAATTTTGATACCTACAGTTTTTGCTCCAAAGTGACTTTTTTAAAAAGCAGGTACCTATACTTGTATATAAGGATTTTTGGCACCAAGAATTAACCAATCAGATATGACCTTATTATGTGATGTGACCAATAGAATGTCACTTTCTTAAGGCATATATATATATATACACACACACACACACATATATATACACACACACACACACATACATACACACACACACACACACATATATTTCAAGACAGGGAATTCACTCTGGATGGCTATTGTTATGTCGGCTATTGTCATTAAAAATTTTTTATTTTCATTGTATTTTTTCCCATTACCATTTATTCCCGTTATGGCTGTTATCATTTTTGTTTGTTTGTTTGTTTGACAGTCTAAGGAAAAAGAGGTCAGTGCCCCTGACTAAATAGTTAGGTACTGCAAGTTTTAAAAAATTCTTGTAGCACACTGGTTAAAAATCAGTGGTCCAAGCTATTTTCTGTTCTAAACCAATTACTATTTGTCAGTAAAGGGCTGGTGTCCTGGAAGGGGACCCTCAAGGAGACTGTTGTTTGAGGAACAGGACTGTCTGTGATGTTTCCATTTCTCCTGTTTAAGTGGAGGCCATTGAAAGGCAGGTAGATTATTTCATTTTGCATATTGTGACCATTGACATTTAATCTAAATTTTAGAAATGAGTGGGATCTGGGAGAGAAAAAGAATGAGAATGAATGTTACCCTTCACATAATTGGGATGTAAAACATCTGTTGTAAATGATAGCATTATATTTAGAAAATACTCTTTGAAAAATGGATTGAGTTTTAGAAGGCAAAGCTATCTCCATTGCTGTGTAGTTAAGATCAGTTACTTTCTTTTCTGCCAAATTAACCACTTAATCATATTGTGTGTGTCTATAAACACACATGAATCTAATAAAAGTAACTTCAAAGTAGCTTTTAAAATATTTCTTTTTTTAATTTATTTTTTATTGATTATGCTGTTACAGTTGTTCTATTCCCCCCTTCATTCCCCTCCACCCTACCCCCCTGTCCCCACCATTACCCCCCCTTTAGTTTATGACCATGTGTCTCAAGTTCTTTAGATTCTATATTTCCCATACTATTCTTGCCCCGCCACCTATTTTCTATCTACTGTCTATGCTACTTATTTTCTGTACCTTCTCGCCCCTTCTCCTCCTCCCACTCCCCTGTTGCTAACCCTCCCTTAAAATATTTCTTTTCACCCTGCCTGGTGTGGCTCAATGGATTAGGTGCCTGCCTGCAAAACAAATGGCACTTGTTTGATTCCCAGTCAGGGCGTATGCTTGGGTTATGGGCCAGGTCCCCATTTGGGGGGGTTGCTGTGAGAAGCAACTACACATTAATGTTTCTCACCCTCTCTCCCACCCTTCCCCTCTGTCTAAAAATAAATAAATAAAATATTTTAAAAGGACACATTAAAATATTTCTTTTCTTCCAATAATTGTAGGAAAATCTGGACAGTTGACAAATATCACAGTATATTTATAAAATTATAAAATTATAAAAATGTAAAATAAAACTTAGAGTTGTTAATATACACTAGTATATTTTATTTTTTTCTAGAAACTGAAAAGAAGATATTCATCATTTACCTGAAGCCTATTAATATCAGAAACCGAGAAGTGAGGAAAATAGAAATCCATTTTGATTTGCAATTCAACATATCACAAGCTTCCATTAAAGCTTTAGGAGAAGACAAACAGGTGGCAGGTTTAATTCTCTTTAATTATTTTACTGTGTTAGTATGTTTTCATGTCTCTTAAATTTCCATGTTGGATTTTTTTAATTGAAATATAACTGACATATAATATGTCACTCATATAACGATGTTCCAGTCTGTGAGAGACTTGATAGATGAGGGTGGTTCCACAGTATTATAATGGAGCCGAAAAGTTCCTATCACCAAGTGACACTGTAGCCTTCATAACATCATCATCATAGTGCAATGCATTACATATGTGTTCGTGGTGATGCTGGTGTAAACAAACCTATTATTGCACAGTCGGTTACATAAAAGCATAACACATGCAATTATGTATAGCACATAATGATAAGTGACAATATTATTGACATATATTTACTACTCTATATTTTTGTTTCTTTTTTAAAGTACAATGAAGTTTATGTATTTTTTATTATTTAAATTATTTTATTGTCGTTCAGTTACAGTTGTCTGTATTTCCTCCCCACCCTTCACTGCCTCCCATTTTTGTTTCTTTAGAATACTCTTTCTCCTTACTGAAAAAAGAACTTTGCTGTAGAACAGTATGCTGTGTTATGCTGGCAGGAGCCTCATAAATCTGGTGTTTACTGTGTCTTTTGATTACATCACTTTAGGGTGTGTTTGTTTTAATCTCACATTGTTTTTGTACAGTAACTTGCTGTACAGGATTGTAGCTAAGATCAGCAGAATCTACCATATAGCATAGGTGTGTAGTAGGCTACACTATCTAGGTTTGTGTAAGTGTACTTGATGTTCACACAGTGATGACATCACCTAGTGATGCACTTCTCAGAATGTAGTAAGTGGTGCATGAATATTAGTTTCAGGTGTACAGCATAGTGATTCAGTATTTGTGTATATAGCAAAATGATTACCACAATAAGTCTAATGAGCCGTTGCCATAATTAAAGAGTTTTTCTTGTGATGAGAACTTTTAATTTACTCTCAGCAGTTTTCAAACATGCAATTTCTAATTCTCCCTTTAGGTCTTTTAATATTCGCTTTATATAGGTAGGTGTTCCTATGTTAGGGGCATAAACATGTATAAATATTGTATTGTGCTGATACGACTGACCCCTTTATCATGAACTTTCCTTGTTTCTTATTACAGTGACCCCTCACCTATCATGGGAGTTATGTTCCAGAGACCCCCCCCTTGATAGGTGAAAATCCATGAAGTGGTGGCATTATATTTATTTTATTATTTATGTATATTTTAAGGCTTTATAAACCCTTCCCACATTCCTATAAACCTTTCCCGCTATCTTATTAACCTTTCCCATACTCTTATAAACACTCCATATGCTCTTAAACACTTTCTACACTCAAACCTATGTAATTTTAACAACATGTAAAATTCTATATGGGCACTCACTAGTGAAGTATACAGTCGTCCCTCACTTTATCATGATTCACTTATTGTGGCTTCATTGTGTCTCGGGTTTTAACCTGTGATATAGTGAAGCCGCAATAAGTGAACCACGATATAACAAGGGACGACTGTACAGCCTTTGCATGAAAGTCTATTTTGTCTGATACAACTATAGCTACTCCAGTTTTGCTTTGCTTTCCATTGGCATGGAATATCTTTTCCATCCCTTCCCTTTCAGTGTATGTGTGTCCTTACATCTGAAGTGAGTCTCTTTAAGGCAACATATAGATGGGTCTTTTAAAAAAAATCTATTCAGTGACTATGTCTTTCGAATGGAGAATTGAACTTATTTACATTTAAAGTTATTGATAGGTACATGCGGATTGCCATTTTGTTCTTTTTTTGTGGCTGTTTTGTACATCCTCTGTTCCTTTCTTCTCTTGTTCTATTTATGTGTGATTTGATGATTTTCTATAGTGGTATGTTTAGATTCCTTTTTAAAAAATCTTTTTTTAGTATGTCTACTATAGTTTTTTGCTTTGTTACTATGAGGCTTATATAAAGCAACTTGTGACAGTCTGTTTTTAAGTTGATAACAATTTAAGTTGAGTTACATTCAGATACTCTACATTTTTACTCTTCCTTCCATGTTTTATATTTTTGATGTTAAAATTTACATCTTTTGTCTTGCATATTCCTTAACAAAGTATTGTAGTTATAATTACTTTTATTCTTTTATCTTTTTTAACTTTCATATTAGCTTTATGAGTAATTATAACATTAGATTATTTACATTAGGTTGTTCTGAGTTTAACTATATATCTACCTTTACCAGTGAGATTTATAGTTTTATATATTTTCCTGTTACTAATTAGCACCCTTTAATTTAAGCTTAGAGAGACCTTTTAACATTTCATATAAAGATGGTTTAGTAATGATGAACTCCTTTAGCTTTTGCTTTTCTGGAACACTTTATCTCCACATTTGAATGACAGCATTGTCAGATAGGCTATTCTTGGTTGGAAGTTTTTTTTCTTTCAGCTCTTTTAGTATATTGTGCCACATACCCTTGGCCTGCAGATTTTCAGTTGAGAAAACTGACGGTCTTAGATGGGTTCCTTTATATGTAACAAGTTGTTTTGGGGTTTTTTTTTTTGCTGCTTTTAAGATTCTTTTTTCATCTTTAACTTTTGACACTTTAATTATAATGTATCATAGTGTGGGTCTTTTGGCTTCTTTTTTTCTTTTCTTTCTTTCTTTCTTTCTTTCTTTCTTTCTTTCTTTCTTTCTTTCTTTCTTTCATTCATTTCTTTCACCCTTTTGAGTTTTCTGGATCTGGATGTCTATTTCCTATTCCATGTTAGAGAAGTTTTGAGCCATTATTTCTTCAAATAAACTTTCTGCCCCTTTCTCTCTTGTCTCCTTTTGACCCCTATAGTGAATGTTTGTCCACTTGATGTTGCCTCATAAATACCTTATACTATCTTCACCTTTTTCATTATTTTTCTTTTTGCTGTTCTGATTGGGCAAGTTTTACTGTCTTAAGGTTCAGTGATCGATCCTTTCTTTCATCTCTCCTGCTGTTGAACATCTGTAGTGTGTTTTTCAGTTTAGTGGCAGTATTCTCAAGGTCTGTGACTTCTGTTTGGCATTTTCTTATATTTTTAATGTTTCCTATAAAGTTCTCACTGTGTTCATCCATTATTTTACCATTGATGAGTATTTTTATGACCATTATTTAAAAATGTTTATCAAGTAAATTGCTTTCTATGCATTAGATAAAATAGCCACCTCTCCCAATCTGAAGGAGTGGTTTCATAAAGAGATGAATCTTGTTTCTCAACTCTGCCCTAGCTCTTCATTTTCTCTCAATCCTGTGAAAGTCTAAGCAGCCTGTCATTTTTAGAGGCTCCTAGTATTTGAAGTTGTGCCAAGAACTGTCAGCATCCTAAAGGGAAAGATCTCAGTCAACACCTAGATTCAGGCTGATTAGAAAACAGACCATCAGCCAGCAGCTTTTAAAGTATGAAGATATTTACAGTCCTCTGGAACTATGAGTGTGAGTGCAAGCCCCACTGTCTACTAGAACCAAGTGATCTAGAGGTGGACCCTGGGTGGCAGCCACAAAAATTGGGGTGCTAAGTGACAGTACAAGCTTCTTTCTGGAAGATAGTAGTGAGCTGTAGTGAGGCAGAGAGAGAGAAGGCAAAGGTGGCATCCACTGGCCTCTATTTTGGAGAGTACCTCAGTAGCCTCTGTGCATGTTCCCAACCAGAAATCTGCCCCTCTCACCAGATCTTCAGGAAAGCAAATAGGCCTTTTTCAAAGAAAATCTGGGGGGGGGGTGTTTTAGTCTACTGTGTGTGCTGTGCCATAGGGGTGATAGCCAGAAGAGAACTGTCTCTCCGGCTGTTATAGTCCTATGGGACACAGGAATGCAAGCCCTGATGGCTGTCAGTACCAGGCAATCCAGGGGCATAGTCTGGGTTGCAGCCACCAAAACTGGGGCACCAGAGGTAGAAATGGGTACCAGATGTATGTACAAGCTGCTCTCTGGGAGATCTTGGTACTCTGGTGCATGGCAGAGGGAGAGTATGAAGATAACACATGCCCTCCAAGGCCTCTGGAGAGGTTCACAGTCAGCCCTAAGTTGTATGTTTAATTAGAAACCTGCCTCTCCGGCAGCAGCTAAAGAGATAAGTGAATAGGCCTTTTCTGCATAAAGACTGGGCATCTCAATCTTTTGTGTGTCCTGAGGGTGGTATCTAGTTAAGAAAACTCTTCATTGGTTGCAGTCCTGAGTTTAAGCCCTGCTAGTCACAAGAGCCAGACAATTTAGAGGTGTTCCCTGGGTTGTACCTGTAAAAATCAAGGTACTAGTTGAGAGTACAAGCTCCTATTCAGAGACATTGGCAAGACAAAGTAGACTATAAAGATGGTGCTTTCTGGCTTCTGTCCTTAGATGCCTGGCACTCAGACTGAAGTTTTAAGATAATCAAATAAGCTTCTTTTCAGTGGGTTGCTTCCTTGCAGGGCCGTGGGGAAGGCAAGTGAACCCTTTAAGAACTGTTTCTCACAGAAATCAGGAAAAAATGTCCCATTTGATATAGCAACAAGAAAAAATAAAGTACCTAGAAATAAACCTAACCAAGGAGGTAAAAGACCTGTACTCAGAAAACTATACAAAAGTGATGAAAGGAATTAAGGAAGACACAAACAAAAGGAAGCATGTGCCATGGTCATGGATTGAAAGAATTAACATCAACAAAATGGCCATGCTACCCAAAGCAATTTATAGATTCAATGAAATTCCTATTAAAGTACCCATGACATATTTCACAAATAAAGAACAAACATTTCAGAAATTTATATAGAACCATAAACAACCCTGAATAGCTGCAGCAATTTTGAGAAAGAAGAACAAAGCAGGAGGAATCACAATACCTGACACCAAACTGTATTACAAGGCCACTGTAATCGAAACAGCCTGGTACTGGCATAAAAACTGACAGACCAATGAAACAGAACAGAGGGCCCAGAAATAAACCCAAGTCTCTTTGGTCAATTAATAGTTGATGAAGGGGGAAATATTAAATAGAGCAAAAATAGCCTCTTCAACAAATGGTGTTGGGAGATCTGGATAGCTACATACAAAAAATTGAAATTTGATCACCAACTTAGTTCATACACAAAGATAAATTCAATGTGGGTAAAAGACTTAAATATAAGTTGTAACACCATAAAAGTCCTAGAGGAAAACATTGGCAGGAAAATTTCAAACATTCCAGGCAGCAACATCTTCAGATGATGTGTCCCTTACAGCAAGGGATATAAAGGAAAGAATAAACAAATGGGACCTCATCAAATTAAAAAGCTTTCAAATGGCTAAAGAAAAGAGCATTAAAATGAAAAGAGAACCAACTGTATGAGAAAACATATTTGCCACTGACACCTGGGACAAGGGTTTGATCTCCAAAATATATAAAGAACTCACATGACTCCACTGCAGGAAGACAAACAACCCAATTAAAAATGGGCAAAAGACTTGAACAGACACTTCTCCAAGGAGGACATACAGAGGGCCCAGAGACATATGAAAAGATGCTCAATATCGCTAGAGATCAGAGAGCTGCAAATTAAAACCACAATGAAATACCACCTCACACTGGTCAGAATGGCCATCATAAACAAATTAACAAACAAGTGTTGGAGAGGATGGGGAGAAAGGGGATTCCCAGTGCACTGTTGGTGGGAATGCAGACTGGTGCAGCCACTCTAGAAAACAGTATGGAATTTCCTCAAAACTAAAAATGGAACTGCCTTTTGACCCAGCAATTCCACTGCTGGGATTATACCCTAAGAACCCTGAAACCCCAATCCAAAAGAACCTATGCACCCCAATGTTCATAGCAGCACAATTTACAATAGCCAAGTGCTGGAAGCAACCTAAGTGCCCATCAGTAAATGAGGGAATCAAAAAACTATGGTACATTTACACAATGAAATTCTACACAGCAGAGAGAAGAAAGGAGTTTATACCCTTTGCTACAGCATGGATGGAACTGGAGAGCATTATGTTAAGTGAAATTAGCCAGGAGGTGAGGGACAAATACCATATGATCTTACCTTTAACCAAAACATAATCAGCAAAAGGAAAAAGCAAACAAAATATAACTGGAGACATTCCAATGAAGAATAATCTAACAATTAAGAATAATCTAACAATAGCCAGGGGTAGGGGGACAGGACAGTGGAGAAAGGGTTTTCAGGAACTACTATAAAGGACACATGGACAAAACCAAGGGGGAGGGTGGAGGAAGCAAGGGAGGGAGGTTTGTTTGGCTGAGGTTGGTGGGTAAGGGGTGGGGAGAAAATGCAGACAAGTGTAATTGAACAACAATAAAGTAATTTAAAAGAAAAAACAAAACTGTTTCTCACTTTGTTATAGCCTTATAGGTCTCATGGACTCAAGTCCCAATGACCTTTCAAAGCTAGATAGTTGGGGGGTTTGTATTGCAGGTGCAAATCTTTTTTTTCTTTTTTTAAATATATTTTATTGATTATGCCATTACACTTGTCCTATTCCCCCCTCATTCCCCTCCACCCTGCACACCCCTCCTCCACCATCCCCCCCTTTAGTTTATGTCCACGTGTCTCAAATTCTTTAGACTTTATATTTCCCATACTATTCTTGCCCTCCTTCCTATCTATTTTCTACCTACTGTCTAGGCTACTTATTCTCTGTACCTTTTCCCCCCTTCTCTTCCTCCCACTCCCCTGTTGCTAACCTTCCTTGTGATCTCCATTTCTGTGGTTTCACTCCTGATCTAGCTGTCCTGCTTAGTTGCTTTTGTTGCAGGTGTGGTTGTTAATAACTGTGAGTTTTCTTTCCTTTCACTGGCCATATTTTTTATCTTCTTTTTCTTAGATAAGTTCCTTTAACATTTCATATAATAATGACTTGGTGATGATGAACTCCTTTAACTTGACCTTATCTGAGAAGCACTTTATCTGCCTTTCCATTCTAAATGAAAGCTTTGCTGGATAGAGCAAGCTTGGTTGTAGGTGTTTGGATTTCATGACTTGGAATACCTCTTTCCAGCCCCTTCTTGCCTGTAAGGTCTCTTTTGAGAAATCAGCTGACAGTCTGATGGGAACTCCTTTGTAGGTGACAGTCCCCTTATCTCTTGCTGCTTCTAGGATTCTCTCCTTCATTTTAATCTTGGGTAATATAATTATGATGTGCCTTGGTGTGTTCTTTCTTGGGTCCAACTTGTTTGGGACTCTCTGAGCTTCCTGGATTTCCTGGAAGTCTATTGCCTTTGCCAGATTGGGGAAATTCTCCTTTATTATTTGTTCAAATAAGTGTTCCACTTGAGGCTGTTCCTCTTCCCCTTCTCTTACTCCTATAATTCAGATGTTGGAACGTTTAAAGATGTCCTGGAGGTTCCTAAGCCTCTCCTCATGTTTTTGAATTCTTGTTTCTTCATCCTTTTCTGTTTGGTCATTTTTTTCTTCCTTCTAGTCCATTCCCTTGATTTGAGTCCCAGTTTCCTTCCCATCACTATTGGTTTCCTGTGCAATTTCCTTCATTTCAATTAGTTTAGCCTTCATATGTTCCTCTAATTTGTGGCTATAATCAACCAGTTCTGTGAGCATCCTGATCACCAGTGTTTTGAACTGTGCACCTGAAAGTTTGGCTGTTTCTTCACTGCTTAGAATTATTGGCTCTGGGGCTTTGAGCTGTTCTTGAGCCATAATGTTTTGGTCTGTTTGTGCCTGTTAAGTATGAAGAGTGGAGCCTTAGATGTTCACCAGGGAGGGGCCACCCAGGTTGCTGGGTTGTGAAGCTGTATGTGAGGGCAGGGTCAGAGAGGGGCAGTGGTGTTTGTTCTGCTCTCTCTCAGATTTCTGTCCCCTTTGCCACTTCCCACAAGCAAATTGGGCCCTTCTGGTGCTGGTTCTTGGGTGTGTCAGCTGGTATACCCTCCAAGACCCTGTGGGTCTCTCCAACAAACTCTCTGTGAGCCTGGGAGCCTCTCCCAGCACCTTGACCCTGAAAGTCTTTCCAATTGGTGCATTCAGGCTCTAATTCCTGTTTCTGGGGCCGTAGCCTGAGGGGTCTGTCTCAGTGCTCGCTCCTTCACTTGGTTTATCTGCTCACACGAATGCGTGACCATGGTCAGCTAGCCGCCTTGCGCCCTCACTGGGTCCATCCATTGCCACCCCATGCCTGGAAATCTGCCAACTGCAGCTTACACTCCTGGGTGGGTTTGACCCAGTGAACTTTCCTGCTCAATCTTTCTGCTGACTCTGCTGCTGACTCTGCCCCTCTTACTGGTCTGGCTGAATGGTTCGTTGTCAGACTTTCATACAGTTCAATTTTCTGTGTTTGGCTGTGTTTTTGTTACTAAAACTTCGTTGTGTTTAAACTTAGTTGTGCAAGGAGGCACCGTGTTTCCACCTATGCCTCCATCTTGGCCAGAAGTCAGGTGCAAATCTTAAAAATTGGGGTACCAGATGTGGGGGTTCATACCCTTTACTTTTCAATGAGAAATGTGCAGTCTTGAGTTCCTTCCTGATTGTGAGTTACCATGCTCTTGGTGGGGTTTATGGTGAGATTGTGTCTCAACATTTCTTGCTTTCTCTGTAGTTTTTTCTTGTTCACCTGATCTGTAGGAATCATTCAGCTACATTTGGTGTTTTTTTCCCCTCCAGAAGAAATTTTACTTCAGCTATATGTAGCTGAATATTAGTGTGCCTGTGGGAGGGGGTGAGTTTAGGATATTTCTACGTTGCTATCTTGAACCAGAACTCCTTGTTGGGTGTTGATGTGAACATTTAATTAAGCAGAAGGATTGATGTCTTTCATATCATGTAATAAGTAAGAGCTGAGAGTACTGAGTTTTAAACCCAGTTCTTCCTTTTCATATATCATCCTAACTATGTAGGACACAATGCCTCTTTGTGCCTTGAAATGCTTTATTTTATTTATTTTGAATAATTGAATTTTTTCCAGGATATTATCACCTCCTTATATTATTCCAGAAGTTCTGAGGATACCTGCTGTGGACTTGTTACTTCTTTATCTCTCAGCTCCTTGAGGATGGAGGGGAATCACTGGGAATAGGGTCTCTTTGGGAATTTTCAATAGTTCTATCTGTTGGTCTTTTCTTGTGGAAATGATCTGAGCCTTATATAGACTGCTATTATCTCACTAAGTATAATATTTCCTATTTGTATACAAGAGCAAGGAGACTATCATAGACAGTAAACACAGCAAAGAAATTTGTGGCAAGAAAACATAAAACACTATGGTATGGTCAATAGGGGTGGAATTAAGATATCGGAGACCTGAGGGAGCATGCATTTGGCTGTTATCCTTTTGGCTTTAGTTGTATAGAAAATCATTTTATGCATGCTAAAGTGCACTATACATATAATTTCCAAAGACTTACCCATGAGAAGACCATTTCATGAAGATGAGAAATAGAAGTAGAATTAATCAATTAATGAAAATACCTTTTCCATCATACTTCAGTGAGTTGGCTTGACACTATAGGTTTGCCTTCATGAGAAATGTCAGAATTACATGTATCTCCACATTTCACAAAGTGAATAAAATATTTTGGGAGAAAATTGGGCTTTGCATCCTATTAAGCCACAGTTCCTTGAGCACTAGCCCCTGTGATGAAGGGGTAGGGATGGCGAGAGCCTACAGTTGGGAACTCAGCACACTCATCCTGAGAGCTTCAGTTCCTGAGTAAAGCAGGGATAGAAGTTACAGGCCTCAGACTTGGGAGACAGGAAACAAAGGCTGTGAAGACTCCAAGATGGGAGGGGCTGAGAGCAGGGAAGTGGTAAGCCAGAGATTTTCTGGAGGATGGAGGTAGGCCAGAAGCTGGAAACAGTGAAATGACCCTTCAAAAGAGGACAAGGTGAAGACAAACTTCTAGTCTATCGATGTGCTGTTTCTGAGCTTTAAATTTTCCTTAAAAATTTTTTAAAAGATTACTGGTTTTAAAAGTCATGTGGCTTCTTTTAGATGTTACCTGTCCAGACAGAAGTCTCCTCAGAACTTGTTGATAAGTTTAACAAAGAAGACACCGAGATTCCTATCGACCATGAAAGAGAGACAGGTATGTTAGAAGATAACAAATTTTTCTACTCTGAATATTTGTAAAAATAATGATAAAACCTTACTTGGAAGAGGTCACTGAAAACCTATGATCATGTAAGAATAATAAATTCATTATTTTACTTTTAGAGAAAGAAAACCTGCTAATAGTCTTAAATCGTTTTCCCCACCTAATACAGTTTCTCTTCTGGGTCAACTGGAAATGAAAAAGGAGGAAAAAATGATGTGGGTGGCAGGCAGCAGGGGACAGGGTATGCAGGGGCCTATCTACAAGGCTGGCCTTGTACAGATCAGGTAGCCCTTATGAGTTACAGCCCACAGCTATTTTCTGCAGTTCCTATAGATTTCCAGTCTGAGATTGGAGACCTGATCTAATTTACCAGCTTTTACCAAAAGATGGGGATGTCCCTGCACTGAGGGTCCCACAAAGAGCAATTGGAGAGTGTGCTCACTGTTGTGCATGAATACTGTTATCACTTTCATATACTCTTTTCTTAATGTGATAGACCAGGCAGAAGAATCCACTGAGCTGGCAGAGTTAATGCATGCTGAAGCTGACAACTGCCTAACAACTCCCCCTTTAAATGACCAGTCTGAGCTTGCTGTGAGTATGGGGAGCTGGATACAAGATTCTGAACTCTGTCCACTGGGTGGAAGCTGCCTCTCCTGGCATGTAGTCCATTTTCTCCTGGCCAACCATCTGCTTCTTTTTGACCACCCCCTTCTTTAGATTATTTTTGCCCACCTTCTTTATGTGTTCTCTCTTTTCTTTCAATTTGGTTTTCCCATGGAATGAGTGACTTGGCTGGGTCTGTCTCATTCCCTCATTTGGGATCTAGCAACTGAGATGTAGGGAAAGGAGCCTAATCTTTGGAGATAGACCTGGTTTTTACTTAATACCTGTGGGACTTTGGACAAATTACTTAACATCACTGAGCCTGAAGACTCTCATCTACAAAACGGAAATAATAGCTGGTTCTCAGTGTGGACCTCTAGGATTAAAAACAGAATGTGTGTATAGCACCTAACACACTGCTTAGCATATGTAGGGTTCTGCCCCTTTCTCCTTTACTTATATTGGATTACCTGGACACATCATACTGAACTGTGTTGATAGTATAATGACTTAAAAAAAACATACCAAAGGTTATTCCTCTAGATAGTTGGTCCCCTTGGGAAGTTCTGTGCTTAGTCCAACAATTCTGACACTATTGAAGACATTTTTGTAAGTTTTCCCTTAATGTTTCTTTTAGTAACTTTGGAACACTCTGATTGTCTTTGAGAGTGGCAAATTTCTCCTGAGGGTGAATATTGATTTTTTGGAACAGCTAACTGTAATGAACGAAGAGCCTAGTATCTTAGTATTCAATGGAAACAATTTTCTTTGGAGCTATATAGTGGCTCCAAACTAATGATAAAAGAGACCTTTGAAGGCACCATAATGAAATACATATTTTTTTTTCTGCAGCAAACAAAGATAGCTGATAGTTCTCCTGAAAAATTGAAACTGGGTGATACACAGCAAGGTCAGATTTTTAAATCTATCATAAATAAGGCTTGGATGGTATATTTATATTTAAATATTTACTCGAAAAACTTAACATTTTTGTTTTTAATTTTCACCATTAGAAGTTACTTCAGTACATGAATTTTCTCCAGATTTACAAGGACAATCAGTAGAAATTCTGGTTCCTAAATTAAAAGACAAATCTAGGTAAGTGTTTTTCAAATCAAATATAAATGATGTAGATTTCTGTTAATGTAACTGGTTAATGTACAAGTCAACTGTCTGAGTTATCCCCCTTTTCTGCATATGGCCACACCCCACACAAGGAAAGGGCATTGTGTGCAGTTTCTATGGAATGATTGGAGCAGTGGTAGAATGTTCTCCTGATCTATAGGTCTGTGGTTATACCCCCAGTATAATCTTTAGTAATGTATTTTTCTGCAGCAAAACATTGAATAACCCCAGCCAGAAAACTTATATTCCAGGCATTAATTTAATTGCCACTATGCCTCTGAAGCATGGGTCATAGGACAAGTGATATTTTTATAGCTTTGAGATATAATTAAAATGAAATAAACTGTACATATTTTAAGTGTATATATTTTATTGAGTTTTAACATATGTCTGTGACCACAAGCACATGATGACCATATCCATTATCGACCAAGAACTTTTTCCTGCCCCTTTGAAATACCTCCCTCCTGCCCTATTTCATCTCCTACCACCACTGCAATCACTGATCTGCTTTCTGCTACTGTAGATAAGTTTGCAGAGTTAAAAATCTTATATAAATGGAACCCAAACAGTGTGCACTCTTTTTTTCTAGCTTCTATTACTTTAATTATTTTGAGATTCATCCATGCTGTATGTATCAGCAGTTCATTCTTTTATATTGCCCAGTAGTATTCCATTGTATGGCATGAGTTGTTTATCCATTCACCTGTTGATGACATTTGAGTTGTTTATCTTTTTTGTTGTTGCAAGTAAAGTTCTTAGGATTCATGTATAAGTCTTTGCATGGACACGTGTTTTCTTTTCTCTTGGGTAAATACATAGGAGTGGAATGGTTGGATCATTGTTGGTGTATGTTAATTTTTAAAAAACCCTGTCATACTGTTTTCCAAAGTGGTTGCAGCATTTTACATTTCCATCAGTAGTCTTCAAGAGTTCTAGATGCTGGACATTCTTACCAGTACTTGGTAATATGTTCTTTATTATAGCCATTGCAGTGGAAGTGGTGTTGAGCACCTTTTCATATATTTGTTTTCCATCTATGTATCTTGTTCAGTAAAGTATCTTCAAATCTTTTGCTCATTTAAAAAATGGATTATTTTTCTTTCTTATTGAGTTATAATAGTTCTTTTTTTAAATTTTATTTAGTTATTTTTCAAGTACAGTTTTCTGTCTATTCCTCCCATCCCAGCCCACCCCGCCCCGTGCTCCCCACCTATAATAGTTCTTTATATATTATACATACAAGTGTTTCGATCAGATATATGTTTGCATATATTTTCTGTGTCTCAATGATTTTTATAACAGTGTATTTTGAAAAAGCAAAAGTTTTAAATTTTTGTAACATCCAATTTATTGATTTCTTTTTTAATACTTAATGCTTTTTTGAGACATGCTTAAGAAATCTTAGGCAAACTCATGATCAGTATTGTTTCTTATGTTTTCTTTTAGAATTTTTAATTTTAGATCTTATTTCAGTTTGTGAGTAATTTTCTATATTATGTGAGGTAGTGGTTGAGCATCTTTTCCCTTCCTTGCTCCCTCTCTCCCCCCATCCCTTTTTCTCTGTCTTCTCACCCTTTCTCTCTTCTTTCTTTCATATGTTTGTCCTGTTGTTTCAGACCATTTATTGAGACAATTATTTTTCGCCCATTTAATTTTCTTGGAAACTTTGTTGATGATCAGTTGACCATATCTATATAGATCTATTTGTGGACTCTATATTCTGTTCCATTGATCTGTTTGTCTGTCTTTCCATATTATCTGAATTACTATAACTTTGCTATCATAATTACTATTTTCCATTTTGAAATGAGGTAGTGTTAGTCTTCCATCTTTGTCATTTGTGTTCAAAGTTGTTTTGAATATACTAGGTGTTTTGAATTTTTATACAAATTTTAGAATCAACTTTACAAAAAAGTCTGTTAGGATTTTGACTGGGATTGTGTTGGCTTTTTAGATCAATTTAGGAAGAAGCAACATCATATAGATAATATATCTCTTTATTTATTTAAAACTTTTCCTCTCAGTAGTGTTTCATTGTTTTCAATGTGTAAATCTTGCAAATATTTTGCTGAATTTATCCCTAAGTACTTCATATTCTCTGCTATTATAATTTTTTTAATTTCAGTTTTTGAATGTTTATTCTATAGAAGTGCAGTTGATGTGTGTATATTGGTATTATATCCTTCTTAAGCCCACTTACTAATTTTTCCATACTCCATTTGATAGAATTTTAGTTGCTGTGCACATTTTAAGTACTTAATTCCCAGTAAAGTACAAGAAATGAGCAGCTTGTTGTCTTTACTCCTATAGCACAGCCCCAGCAACAGTTGTGAGCATGACTGGAACAACTGTATTTGTAGGTGATATGATCACCTAAGTAGCTAGTTTGGTGAAATCTACAAGAAGGCTGATAGAACTAATAAGTAAACTTTTAAATGTATAATTGTAGTTTTAGGAATTATGGCAAAAATATATGTAATATAAAACTTATCATCTTAACTATTTTTAATTTTCAATTACAGTTGATATACAATATATCAGTTTCAAGTATACAGCATAGTGGTTACACATTTGTATAACTTACAAAGTAATCCTCCTAATAGGTCTTGCATGCCCACCTGACACCATAAATAGTTATTGCAGTATCACTGACTGTATTTCCTATGCTGTAGTTTACATCCCCTGATTATTTTGTAACTGCCAGTTTGTACTTCCTAATCTCTTCACTTTTCTCACCCAGCCCCCCCAACCTCGATTCCATCTGGCAACCATCAGTTTGTTCTCTGTACCTATGACTTTCTTTCTTTAGATTGCACGTATAAATTAAGTCATATGGTATTCGTTTTGCTCCTTCTAACTAACTCATTTTAATCAGCATAATGCCCTCCATGTCCATCCATGTTGTCTCAGATGGAAGTATTTCATTCTTTATTAAGGCTGAGTAATATTCCATTGTTTATATGTATGACTTCTTTGTCCAGTTGTCTGTTGATGGGCACTTGGTAATTTCCATGTTTGGCCATTGTAAATAATGTTTTATTGAACATAGGATGCATAAATTTTTTAAATTAAGTATTTTGTATTTCTTTAGATAAATATCTTGGAATAAGATTGCTTGAACATATGGCAGTTCTAGTTCTCAATCTTTTGAAGTGTGTTTTTTTATGCTGTTACAGTTGTCCAATATTTTTTCTCCCCTTTATTTCCCTCCACCCAGTGCCACCCCTCCTACCATCATTACCCCGCACCCTCCATCTTAGCTCATATTTGTGGATTGTATGTATAAATTCTTTGGCTTCTCTATTTCCTATACTATTCTTAACCTTACCCTGTCTATTTTGTACCTACCAATTATACTTGTTATTCTCTGTACCTTTTCTCCCATCCTCCTCTCTCTCCCTTTCTGCTGATAACCCTCCATGTGATCTCCATTTCTGTGATTTTGTTCCTGGTCTCGTGGTTGGCTTCGCTTGTTTTTTATATTTTTAGGTTCAGTTGGTGATAGTTGTGAGTTTGATGTCATTTTACTAGTCATAGTTTTTATCGTTTTCTTAGATAAGTCCCTTCAATATTTCATATAAGGGCTTAGTGATGATGAACTTCTTTGACTTGACCTTATCTGGGAAGCACTTTATCTGCCTTTGTATTCTAAATGATAGCTTTACTGGATAGAGTAATCTTGGATGTATGTCCTTGCCTTTCATGACTTTGAATACTTTCCAGACCTTTCCTGCCTGTAAGGTTTCTTTTGAGAAGTCAGCTGACAGTCTTATTGAAACTCCTTTGTAGGTAACTGACTCCTTTTCTACTGCTGCTTTTGAGATTCTCTCCTTATCTTTAATATTGGGTAACTTAATTATGATGTGTCTTGATATGTGCTTCCTTGGAACTCTCTGAGCAGGACTCTCTGAGCTTCCTGGATCCCCTGGAAGTCTATTTCCTTTTCCAGACTGGGGAATTTCTCCTTCATTATGTTTTCAAATAAGTTTTCAATTTCTTGGTCTTCTCTTTCTGGCACCCCTATGATCAGATGTTGGAACATCTAAACTGTCCTAGAGGTTCCTAGGCCCCTCCTCCTCCTTTTGAATTCTTGTTTCTTCGTTCTGTTCTGATTGAATGTTCTTTCTTCCTTGTGCTCCAAGCCGTTGATTTGAATGCTGGTTTCCTTCACTTGGCGGTTGGTTTCCTGTACATTTTCCTCTATTTTACTTTACATAGCCTTCACTTCTTCCCCTACTTTGTGACCATACTCAACCATTTCTGTGAGCATTCTGATTACCAGTGTTTTTAACTCTGCAACTGATAGGTTGGCTATCTCATCATCGCTTAGTTCTTTTTCTAGAGTTTTGATCTGTTTTTTTCATTTTGGCCATATTTCCCTGTCTCATTGCATCTGTTACATTGTAAGGGACAGAGCCTTGGCTCTCCTGGGTGGGGCAGGCCTTTGCTTGGTTGTGTCACTGTATGTGGGGGAGGGGTCAGAGAGGGTTTAAGAAACAATGCTGCTTTCTCCACTCTTGCCCTACTTTCACTTCCCCTGCTACCCACAAGCCAATTGGGCCCTTCTGGTGCTGACTCCTGGGTGGGTGGGTTTGTGTTCATTGTAGGACCTTGTGGGCCCCTCTAACAGAGTCTCCTGTGAGACTGGGAGTTTCTCATACTACCACGCTGACCACAGGTTTTTATAGTCAGAGATATTGAGGCTTTCTTTTACTGCCTTGACCCCTAATTTATATGGCCTGTCTTGCTCCCCAGTTGTTTCTCCTGGTTTATCTGCATGCAAATGTGGGACCACCAGCTGTTACCTCACCCACCAGGTCTTCCAGCTACCGCCTTGCTGCACATCCTTGCCACCCTGGCTGCCTGTCTCCACCCCTCCTTCCAGTCTGGATGAATGTTTCTTTTTTAACTCCTTGGTTGTCAGTCTTTTAAATAGTTTGATTTTCTGCCAGTTCTGGTTGTTTTTTGTTTTTAAATTTCTTGTTGTCCTTTTGGTTGTGTGAGGAGGCAAAGTGTATCTATCTATGCCTCTATCTTGGCCAGAAAGTCCTATTTTTAATTTTTTGGGGTAACTCCATACTGTTTTCCACAGTGGCTGCATCTGTCTGCATTCTACCATTAGTGCAAAAGTCCCTTTTCTCTGCATCCTTGCCAACACTTGTTTGTTGTTTTATTGATGATAACCATTCTGACAGGTATAAGGTGATGTCTCATTGTGGTTTTAATTGTGTTTCTCTGATGATTAGTGATATTGAGCATCTTTTCATAGGTCTATTGGCCATCTCTATGTCCTCTTTGGAGAAATAGCTATTCAAGAGGACAATATATATATATTTTTTAAATTTTATTTAGTTACTTTTCAAGTACATTTTTTTTTCTCTTCCCCCCCCCCGCCTGGTCTCCCCCCTCCCTCCCATCCCCCCCCCCCCCCCAGTCCTCATCTCTGTGTCTTTCATACTTGTTCCTCAAAATCCCTCCCTCTTTTTCCCCTTAAGTTCCCTTCCCTCTCCCCTCTGGTTGCTGCCCACTTGTTCTCTATTTCAGCGTCTTTGTTTTTATTCTGTTTGCTTGTTTGTTTTATTCTTTAGCTTCCTGTCAAAGGTGAGATCATATGGTATTTGTCCTTCAATGCCTGGCCTATTTCACTCAGCATAATGCTTTCCAGTTCCATCCATGTTGTTGCAAAAGGTAGTAGTTCCTTCTTTCTCTCTGCTGCATAAAATTCCATGGTGTATATGTACCACAATTTTTGGATCCATTCATTTACTGATGGGCACCTAGGTTGCTTCCAACTCTTGGCTATTGTAAATTGTGCTGCTATGAACATTGTGGCGCATAGGTTCTTTGAAATTGATGTTTTAGGATTCTTGGGGTATAATCCTAGCAGTGGAATTGCTGGGTCAAAAGGCAGGTCAATTTTTATTTTTCTGAGAAAATTCCATACTGTTTTCCATAATGGTTGTACCAGTCTACAATCCCACCAACAGTGAACTAAGGTCCCCTTTTTCCCCACACCCTCTCCAACATTTGTTGTTTGTTGTTTTGTCGATGATAGCCATCCTGACAGGTATAAGGTGGTGTCTCATTGTGGTTTTAATTGTGCATCTCTCTGATAGCTAGCGATATTGAGCATCTTTTCATATCCACTCTGTCCGATTTCAAGAGGACAATATTTTTAAGACGCCAATTTCCCCCAAATTATCTATAGATTCCATGCAAATTCAACTCAAATCCGAGCAGAATTTTTCATTTGTTTGTTTGTTGTTTGTTTTGGATGTGGAGAAAAGGGAATCCTAGTGCACTGTTGGTAGAAATGCAGACTGGTGCAGCCACTGTGGAAAACAATATGGAATTTCCTCAGAAAACTAAAAATGGAACTGCCTTTTGACTCAGCAATTCCACCGTTAGGATTATACCCTAAGAACCCTGAAACTCCAATTCAGGAGAACCAGTGCACCCCAGTGTTCACAGCAGCAAAATTTACAATAGCCAAGTGCCGGAAGCAGCCTAAGTGCCCACCAGTAAATGAATGGATCAAAAAACTATGGTACATTTACACAGTGGAATACTATACAGCAGAAGGAAAGAAAAAACTTCTACCCTTTGCAAAAGCATGGATGGAACTGGAACACATTATGCTTAGTGAAATAAACCAGGAGCTGAAAGACAAATACCATATGATCTTACCTATAAGTAGAACCTAATTAACAAAACAAACAAGCAAGCAATATATAACCAGAGACATTGAAATTAAGAACAAACTGACAGTAATGAGAAGGGAGGTGGGAGGGAAGAATGGCAGGGAAATGGGGTAGGGTTTTCAGGAACATCTGTGAAAGACACATGGACAAAGCCAAAGAGGGGTGGGATCAAGGGTGGGAAGTGGGATGGTTGGGGTTGGGAGGATTAGAGGAGGGTAAAATGGAGACATCTGTACTTGAGCAACAATTAAATTTAAAAAAATTTAAAGTTAAAAAATATAATTATTGATAGGTATGTATAAAAAAGAAATTGTCAAGTTACTTCTAAATTTTAGATGGAAATTTAAACATCTAATAATTGCCAAAACAGATTTCATAAAGAACTACAAAGTGGGAGGGCTAACACACTACCTGTTTTCAAGACTTTTTATAAAGCTAAAATAATCAAGAGAGTATGGTTTTGGCATAGTGATATATAAATAAATGGAATAGACTAGGAGTCCAGAAATAGACCTACCTATCTGTGAACAACTGGTCTGTGACAAAAATGCAAAGACAATTCAGTGGCAAAAGGATAGGTTGTTTTTTTCCCAAAAAGTGATGCTAGGACAATCAAATATCCATACATGCAATAAAATACATAATTTTTTATCTTTACCTTCTACCATATAAAAAACTCACTAAATTGATTATAGACCTAAGTCTAAAACTTATATGAAAGAACACTTAAGAAAATATTTGTGAGCTTGAGTTAGCAAAGATTTCTTAGATATGACATCAAACATATTGTCTATAAAAGAACAAATTGATAAATTGGACTTAATTAAAATCAACAACTTCTGCCCTTTGGAATATAGTGTTAGGGAAGTGAAAAGACTAGCCACATACTTGGAGAAAATATCTGTAAAGCATATATCTGATGAAGGACTATACCCAAAATATATTAAGTATTCTCAAAATAATGCCAAGTCAAAGAAGTCAGGCAAAAAAAAAACAGTACATACTATATGATTCCATTTACATAAAATACTAGAAAATGCAAAGTAGTCTATAGAGACAGAAAGTAGATTGATTGTTGCCTGGAAATAAAGGTTCATTGGCTGTTTCATTCTTTTTTAAAAAAAATTGTGTTAAGAACACCTAATATGAACTCTACTCTTAACAAAATTTTATGTGTCCAATATAGTATTAATGTTCGTAGGCACAATATTATATGAAAAACCTATAGAATTCATTTACCTTATATTACTGAAACTTTATAGTTGTTAAATAGCAACTCCACATTTCCCCCTCCCCTCAGCCCCTGGACATCACCATCCTATTCACCTTTTCTACAATTTTGACTCTTAGATGCCTCATGTAAGTGGAATCATGCAGTATTTGTCTTTCTGTGACCAGCTTATTTCAGTTAGCATAATGCTCAAGTTCATCTATATTGTTGCATATTGCAGGATTTCCTTTTTTCTAAAGGCTGACAGTATTCCATTGTATTTATATACCATACTTTGTTTATGCCTTCACTCATCATGGGCAGTTGGATTGTTTCCATATCTTGGCTATTGTAAATAATGCTGTAGTGAACATTAAAGTGAACATATCTATTCAAGATTCTGATTTCAATTCCATTGGATTTATGGGATTGCTGGATCATATAATTGTTTTAATTTTGTTTAAAAATTGCCATACTATTTTCTATAGTGGCTACATCATTTTATATTCTTATAAACAGTATGTAAGGGTCTAGTTGCTCCAAATCTTCACCAACACTTAATTTTTTTATAATAGTAAACTATAAAAGGCAAAATAGCAAACCAAAATATATAAGGAACTCCTACAATTCAGTAGCAAATAAGAAGAATCACCTGATTAAAAATATAGGGAAAGGCTTTGAATAGACATTTTTCCAAAGAAGACATACAAATGACAAACAGGTATATGAAAAGATGCTCAGCATTACTACTCATCAGTTGATTCTAAAGTAGAGCCAGACAAACACTGCTCTGCAGCTTTGCCACAGCTCACTGCTTGCTTGTACTTAGTTGTACCCTGCCTTCCTCTCTTCATGCCTGACAGAGAAGGGCTCAACAAAGGTTGGTTTGCTTTAAATAACAAGTTGTCAGGCAGAGGATCTGTGGAAATGGGTTGCAATATGATAAGTTTGTCTATGTGACGTGGTATTCGCCTGCACTGGGCTCGCATTTGACAAAGGGCACATGAAGGAGAAAAGAACTTGGGGCTGTGAAATGAGGGAAGGAGAAGGTGAAGGTGGTACAGTTCTGCTGATTCAATATATTTTGTTTTAGGCAAGAATCTGCTTTCAAGGGAGACAGTAAGGAAGAAACAAGGATGTTGGTAATTGAACAACTTTTATTGTTTGGGGACATTACTCCCAAATTTTATGTTATTTGCATACCATCTTAAAAATTCATCATGGCTCTGCTCTTTGTCTCTATTTTTCTCAATTAAATTTATCTTAAACTTATTTTAAAGGGAATTATTTCACTTTCAAATGGAAAATCAGCATCAGTTGTAACAAATGGTATGTAAACTGCCAAATAAATACAATGGAAAATAACAAAGTTATCAAATTGAGCTGTAGTTTTACTCATATTAGGCTTTCAGGAGTAAGCAGAAGAGAAGTGTTGAAAACCTACAAACACTTGAGATTTATCCTGAGTGGAAGCAGACATGTTAATGAATAGAAATTTTTTACTCTGAGTCACTAGCTTCGTTTTGTTTCTCTGTGCACCAACTTACACATCTCCAGTATGCCTCCCACTTGGCTCTAAATATGTAGTCAGAGCATTTAAAAAAATCTCTATAATTAACATTAAATGGAATTTTTTAAAAATTTGAGATCATGAGCTTCAAACAAATGAGTTAAGGCTCTTTCTGGCTTGCTTTTAGCAATGGTTCTCACTCTCCACTGCCCAGTCTTCTAATTGGAATCACCAGGGGAGCTGATGAAACTACTGAAGCCTGGATCCCCTCCCGGATGATCCTGACTTAATTGGTCCACAGTAAAGCCCAGGCACTGGGATTTTTTAAAACCCTCCTGGTGATTCTAATATGCAGCCAACTTTAAAAACAACTGCTCTGGGTACTCATGTTTTCGTAAGTAACTTTCAACACTTTTTATTATATGAAACTAAAGAAACTGGGAAGCCTTGCTGTGTGATATTTTTACTGGGCAAATTCAGTAAAGTGATGCTTTCTCTTTACAAGACACTGGGCTGAGGAACCTTTGAAGAAATGCGGGCGGTTCCCCCAACTCTTCTTATTCTTCTCATAAGAGTAAGATGCAAATAGGCCTGACTCCCAGAGTTCCTTTCAAAAATGAGTTCTCTACAAAATACTGAGCTGCTAAACATTTTAAATTGGGTCTTTAAAAATAAATTCCTCTTAAAAACAGATAGTTTACCATCCTTAAGGTTATGGGTTGTATTTTCATAAACAGGGGTGAGGCTGGTTCCCACCCTAAGCTGATTCTGCGCTTTGCCATTTTAGGCACAGGGTGGAGCTATACAGTGGATAGGTGTCAATTTGAGAAGAGCATGTGAGGTACTGTGACCATTCAGTATTGTGGATTCACGAGAATCCTCCCTGGCCTGAAATGAGGAGCTGTTAGGAGCTGAGTGCTGGGGTCCCTCTAGAGGCATGGTGGTGTGAGGACCAGGGCCCCAGAGGGACACGCAGATAGGGCTCAAAGAGAGATATATTATGTTAAAGTCAAAGCATATTTCATATTAAAATTAAGCACAAACATTTATTTGTCATAGCATGTATAAAAACAAATGCAAAACAGAAAAGGATTAAAAATATATAAACATTAATGTACAGTTGAATAACCCACCAGAACAGATTAAATTTGCCCAAATCTCAAAACTTTATAATCCAGGTCCAATTTCAAAAGGCTAAGGTTTAAATAGAAATGACTCCCTCATTTTTATTTTAGTTCCTTTAAAATGTAGACATGCATGTCTTTGCAAAAGTTACTTTTGTACTTCGTTTTGTTGTTCAGGTTAGTATTTTGAAGTGACAGTGTTGATGATACTGATACTGATGATACTGACGTGCCTCCGGTTTTAAACAGTTACCTAGCATCTCTTCAGGTGCAACATCTGATTAGACAAGATTTGGTCATCCTTTACAACATTGGCTTGGTTGAGAATTGACTGATGAAATAATCTGTTTCCTCTTCCGCTACTTACTTCTCTGTCTGTATTATGTAAGGAACCCTGTTACCCCTCTCTTGTCTAACTTCATAGTGATATGTTTAATGTTACATAAAGAGTTCCCACACCCCTTTAATAGTGCTCATTTGCTATCTGTGTTTGTAGAAGTTCGGTTACAGGAAACACCTCTTCTCAGAGAGCAATCAAGATTCAAGTTCTAGTAGCACTGCACTATCTTGGACCAATGACCAAGATAGGAAATCCCTAAAACCATATCCTGGTAGAAGAAAGACAAGAACTAGAAGTAGCTTAAAAAGTAAGTTTGGTGTGTGTCTTCTTCCAAGTCGTTTTTCAAATAAGCAAGTGGGTATTTATTTCTCCATATGTGATGAGAGAGGGTGCCAAAAAATTGTATGATCATGTGAATCTCCTTCCCTGCTACAATTACATTGAGAAGGCAAAATGTACCTATGTGAAACAGTATAAAAATATTGAAATGGCCAATGACTGTTAAGTATGAACTGTATGTACATAGTGGAGTAGGAGGTCAGATAAGAGGAATCTGATATGAGCTGGAATCATCAGAAAAAGTTTCAGGGGAGAGGAGGGTGGGACTTGAGCTCATCATTGGGGAAAAACAGGTTTGGAGAAGGAGAAGTGGTGTAAATTAGGTAAAACTACAAGGACAAACTGAGGACATGAGGACAGTATTCAGGAACGTAATCTGGAGCAGAACATTTGTGCTGGGTAGTGAGGAACAAAATTGAATCATTACAAAGGAATCTTAAGAGCCAGACATTTGAGCCAGCTGTAGGAAATAAAAATTGCTTCTCACTGGGACATGTATAATTGGGAGAGGGATAAATGAATTTTTATATTTCTCCTAAGTAAATGTATCCATTGTACACTTTTCCCTTCATTTTTTAGTCTTGCCATTTTCCCCTTCCAGTCTGGGCAGTGACCATGAGAAAGACCAAGTAAGTAAATTTTATCTGGGCTGCCTGTGCATTAGCATGGCATAGGTTGATCTGTTTAGGGTTAAAGAGCACCTTTTTCTTAAAAAAAGATAAAACTTTTCAGAAATATGAGAATAACAAAGCACTGGTATGTAAGCCACTGTCAGTAGAAACTGGAAGGACTTCTAAATATTTAGAATGAATCTTGAGTAAAGGTTTAGGCACTTTTTTCATTGTTCTCAAATGTTGCTGAAAGATTATAACAGTGTGTACAATCTGGGCTGTTCTGATTTACTGCAAATGTGTGCTCTTTTGAACTCACTTTTAAAAATAAACTTCTTCATTTAATTCTTCCCTTAGTGTTCAGTTTGTTGATATGTTACTTCCAAAGCTTTTAGAGATTTAAACATTTAAATCTTTATTTTGCAAGTGGTTTAAATGCCTTCAGGGCTATATAAATATTGAATAGACCCTCAAAGTTTCTTAATTCCCTTCACTATCTTTGTTTTATAGCAAAATGGTTAAGAGTATGAACACCAGTGTCCTCCAGACCAATTTTGAATTGCCTAATTTTTCCTGTGATTAGCTGAATTGTCTCTCTCAGCAGTTGGCTTTTCTTTCTTGTTAATTAAATGAGACCTATCCTGTCTGGCTGCCGGGATTCTGAGGGGTGGACAACAATGTGTTCAGTGCTCCAATCAGAAGTGGATACCCGCCCGAACCTGCCTTCCTCCTTCAGCCAGGGGACTGTGGTCCTCTGTGAATCTTAGAGGCTCTGAGGCTCTGTAATGACAGAGGTTCCAGATGAAACCTATGAGCCAGAGGAAGTACCCCAAATGTTTGTTTAACCTGAAATAATGTGGTCAGAAATAGACCAAATGAATAGTTTTTAGTAAATGCATCTTTTATTTTAAATAAGCACCAAAGAAACATCAAAGTTTTGAGAATCCATAAATTGAAGCTCTGTAAGTGATAGGAACTCTATGCTAATTTTCAGTGAAGGTATTGCTGACTTTGTACAAATATTGGCTTTCAAAGTTTACCTCTCTGTGTTGGAATATAAGAGAATAATTTTGAGCAAGGGTCAGCTGACTTTTTCTTTAAAGGGCCAGAGAGTAAACATGTTTGACTCTGTGGCCACAGGGTTTCTGTGGTGACTGTTTAGCACTGCCGTTGTAGCACACAGGCTGCCACGGACAACACCGGAATGCACGAGTGTGCTGTGTTCTGATAAAATTTTATTTACCAGAACCTGATTTAGAGCAGTGGTTAACCTGGTATAAGGGGACTAAATGGTAATGGAAAAAAATACCATAAAGTTAAAAAAAAACTTTAGTAGTTATCAGAATGACCAGGGTGACTTGTTAAAATATAGGTAGCTGGGTCCTGTCCCCAGAGTTTCTGACTAAGTAGGTCACGGGTGGGGCTGGAGAACTGGCATTTCCATCAGGTTCCCAGTGTTGCTGATGATGTGGTCTGGGACCTTGCTTTGACATCTTTGATTTGGAATTGCTTTCAATTTAGAATTATTAATTAATATATGACTTAATGTGCTCCAACTCTGGGATCTTATAGTTTTAGTGTTTAGTTTCAAATGGAGCAAATCTAATATTTAAACCTGTATAAAGGATATTGGAAATGTCTTGGAATTTTTGGTAACTTGTCTAGAGTGATTATGAATGTTAACACTTCTAAAAAGTACTACATTTTAGGCTAAACTTCTAACACCATTATGGAAAGATACCACCAGGCAAAATAATGCCATGCCTCCAATTTCTGGAACAAAATTTAAGGGTAGTTCTGCCCTTTTAACTCCTGAAGTTTCTGCCCAGAAAACAGGTACTTAATTTCTGATGATTTAAATAGAAAAAAATTATATTTGGGGAAAAGCAGTTTGAAGTAAATAAAACACTTGTCATTTATGTTGAAGAAAGTGTGAAGATATGATTGTTCTTGAATAATCTCATTGGCAAAAGATAGGGGATAATTATGTTTTAATTTTACTTTAAAATTTGAGATCAGCTTGTACATAAGAATTGCTGGTTCTTTTTTTTTTTTTTTTAAAGAGGCAAGGAACTCAAATGATGACTTGCTAGCAGAGGCTGGTAAACTTTTTCTATAAAGGACTGGATAATACATATTTTTTTTGCTGTTTGGTGCCTATTATTTCTGCATCTATTTAAGTGGTAGCACAAAATCAACCATAGACAAGATGTAAAACAATGAGCATGGCTGTGTTTTCATAAAACTTGAATTATAAAACTATGTGGCAGAAGGGCCTGAAGGGCCAGAGTTTGCCAGCCCTTGGCCTATGAGGTATCTTAACCCCCACTGAATTTCATTAAAACTATTTGCATCTTTTAAAGGTTTCATTCACTTTTATCATTCTGCAGTTCGTTGCCAGGCACAGAATGGCTCTAAGAAACCACAGCTGACAACCTCTTATTGCGGCTGCTGCTGGCAGAAAGGAAGTAAAGGAGAGAAACAAGCAGAGAGGAAAATTAGCATTAGAGAATAAGAGGAAATTGGGGAGTAGAACTAAGAGAGAGAAGAAGGAGAGGGATTGTAGGCTGGGGCAGTAGATTGGTTGCCCATGAATTTGGGGCCAGATGGGCAGCTATAAAAAGTGCTGATCTGAACTGGCTAATTATACAAACCTGATCACCATACATGCCATGAGAAACACAGTCAAGGTTTTTTTGTTGTTGTTTCAGTAGGTACTGTGTAGCCCCCTTTTTTGGTGGTGAAATTTTATACATAAAGGCATAGCGAAATGTTAGTGCCTGAAGTTGCTTCTTAGTCCATTTATTCCCTTGAAAATGTTCTCTCTAATACTCAGAACTTCAAAGTCCCTACCCACTGAGCAGTCTTTCTTCATTGGAGCACTCAGAAGTTGAAGAAAATTTACCTAAGGTACTCTTTAATTGTTGGGTTTTTATCTGATTTTCCAGGATTAATGTTATATTTGCATGATGTACTGCTTATTCCTTCTTAAGGGATAATAAAACATTTTTTATTTTGATACAAATACGTATATATTTGGCCTGTTTTTTTCTTTTTTTAAGACTGTGAACCAAGAGCTATTGATGAAAAGTGCTAACCTCAAACATAAACTGGAAAATCTGGAAGACAGAGGTGAGAGAATACTAAACTCTTTTTGTAGAGTGAAGCAAAATTATTGGAATTTGCAGGCTGCATTATTCAAATTGCAGCAGATGAACTCTCTTTACAGAATGATGATTGCCAGCAGCTCCAAATGTGCATGAAGGTCAAGGGGAGGAACAGAGGGCTTCATTTAGGAACAGGAGTGTCTTAACATTGAGAAGCATATAGCTTGGAGGCCCTAATTCTGTCAACCTGCACAACTGGTTTTTGTCCTCAGAGAAGAGCTTAGTGGGGGCACTTACAGTTTATCAGAAATGCTTGAAAAGGTTGTGTGGCCAAGTTATTAAAATTTCCAAATTCATTTATCATGGTAACAGTAATATGAAGGTTTCCAGGCTAATCGACAATGTGGTGAATGAGTATAGTGCCACACTGCTGTTTAGGATGTTTGTGAACTGTTTGTTTTTTCTTTATGCTTTAAATCAAATTTTAGGAAGATTCAAATAGTTATGACTTATGTGCAGGATATTTAGTGTATCAACACAGCAAACATCTGTGAACTACCATACAGTTTTAGAATACTGTTATTTCCAAATCTTGTTACACTACATCCCCAGTACTTCCCCCCTCACAGGGGCCCATTCAGTTTAGTTTGCATTTGATTCAGCTGCTTTTACTGTTTTCACTTTTGCATTATGAAGAATATGACACATTCAGAAGAGAACACAGAACATGTACACAGAATAAAGAGTGGTGATAAGTTGAACACATGTGTAACCATACCTCAGTGTGGGGGTGACTTTGCCAGGAAGTCCCTCTGTCCACCACAGATTAAACTAACACTACCAAGACATGATCTGCTTGGGGAGGAGAGGTGGCCAGTTTCTCAGAGGAGAAGGGCCAGGAGCCCCTTCCTCAAGGGGCTTCTGGTGGGTTGTAATACACAGGAATACAGGTGGTAAGGATCAAACAGTAGATAACATTTCAAAGAAATCTGAGGGCTTAGTCTGAGTCAGTGTCTGTCAGGAAAGGGGGTTGCAGAAACTTTGGGAGACATACTCATTTCCCGCTCGGGCCCTTATCATATGAATGAAAACATTCTTAGCAAAGCAGGCTTCACAGGACTTTTAGGAATTCTTTCTTATGCCCCATCACCCCAGGTCCCACTTTAGCTGGCAAGGGGCTGCACTGCCTCCCCCATCACAGGTTTTCAGGCTTCAGTGGATTAGAGCCAGGAAGCACTTCTCCCAGAGGACATGGGGACTTGGGTTATGTCAGAATAGCCGGGGGGCGAGGGTCCATCACTCCCTCTTTGTTGCAGCCCTCCGAGTCCTTCTATGATGGCCTCCCAAGTGATCTTGTCTGGCTTAGGTTGCCCCCCTCTGAGGGGTCTTACCCGTCATGGACTAACAGACCAAGCACTGGGGGCAGGGGGATGAAACAGAGACAAGCTTTGTCTCCTTGTGGCTCGAATTCTGGAGGTTGCTCACTCAGCCATAGCCATGAGAGGCAGTTGTAATTCCTGAAACCAGGCAGAGCGGTTCCCAAGACCTCAGAGTGAGAACTGGAAAACTGTCACTGACTTAGGGTCCCCAGCACAGGGCCCTGCCCTGTACCTTCCCTTTGTCCCTCATACAGGTGACAGCAGTTCTGACTTGTGGAAACACTTCTCTTGCTTTTCTTCATAATTTTACTTTTTGTGTGTGCATCCCTAATAATATGTAGTTTATATTTGATTTGAAATTTAAACAAATAGCATCATACTGTGTATATCTGATGTGGCCTGATTCTTTCGCTCATAATCATTTGTAAGATCCATTTATGCTGATGCATGTAGGTGAAGTATATTAGCTTTCATCACAATACAGCATTTGGTTACATGAATACACCATCATGTATTTATTCATTCTAGTACTGTGTGGTATTTGAATTGTTTACAGTTTTACTTGTTAGAAATAGTGCATCAGTGAAGAATCATGTACATTTATTTCATCATGCAGGTAGAGAAAAATGTTCTCTAGGTGTTTTTTAGACATAGAATTGCTGGGCCAGAGTATATAATAACCTTTTAACAGTTTTAAAGGTGAAAAACTTTCTCCAAAGTGATTGATCGATTGACTTTCTTGCCAGCTATGTATGAGAGTTCTGCTGCTTCACTTTCTTGCTATCATTTGGTGTTTAAAATTTTTGATGTGTGTGTGTATACATGCATGTTCATGTATACATTGAAGTTTTAATTAGAATATCCCTGATAAAATTTAAGCATCATCTTATGTTTATTAGCTATTTGAATTTCCTTTTTTGTGTAGTGTCTAAACATGTCTTGCCAATTTGCCAATAGAGTTGTCTTTATATAAATTCCTAGGAATTCTTCATATGTTCTATACTTGGTTATGTGTTTTATAAATATCTTCTTCCATGTCATGCTATATCTTCTTCCACTTTGGAGTTTGCACTCTCACTCTGTATGATGCTGTCTGCGTATGTCTTTATGACTTCTCCAAAAAGTTAAAGTTTTTAACTTTAATGAATTCTACATTATTTATCTTTTCTCCATAGTTAGTATGTTTTTAGTCTTGAAAAATTCTCCCCTATCAAAAGTGAAAGATATTCTCATATACTACTTTCTATATTATGTACATTTAATGCTATACATTTCTAAGTACTATTCTAGGTGAATCCCACACATTGTAATATATATTTGTTATTATTTATTTTAAAAGCTTTTTCATTTTTCTTTTTTTTAAATTTAATTACAATTTAAATTGGTGACATTGGTTAATATGTCACATAGGTTTCAACTCTACATTTTCACGATACAAGATCTGTACACTGCATTGTGTGCCCACCACCCACAGTCAGACCGTCTTCTGTCACCATGTACTAGGCCCCCTTCCGCCTCCACCACCCTTCCCGCCAGTAACCAGCACACTGCTGTCTCTGTCCACAAGTTTCAGTTTTATATCCCACATACGAGTGAAATCATATGGTTCTTAGCTTTTTCTGACTAACTGCTTTCACTTACCATAATAGTCTCAAGATCCATCCATGCTGTTGCGAATGGCAGTATTAGGTTAAACAAAAAGTTCATTTGTGTTTTCTGTAAGATGGCTATAGTAGTGCTTAGTTGTCTTTAACTTCATTTGAAACTATTTTGTTAGATTGATTGTGACAGCTGGTATATCAGGATACATTTTAAAAACCTTATCAGAATTGCTGGATTTTTGTATAGCCATTTTAATATTGAAGATGGGAGAAAATATGCAACATTTTTGGCATATTATGCTTTATTATTTCAAGAGGGGTAAAAATACAACTGAAATGCGCAAGAAGATTTGTGCAGTTTCTGGAGAAGGTGCTGTAACTGGTCAAACATGTTGAAAGTGGTTTGCAAAGTTTCATGCTGGAGATTTCTTGCTGGATGATGCTCCACAGTTGGGTGGATTATATGATCAGATTGAAACATTAATTGAGAACAATCAATGTTATACTATGTAGGATATAGCCAACATACTCAAAATAGCCACATCAATAAAATTATTATTGAAAATGAAAAATATGTGTTTTGGAAGTCCTAGCCACAGCAATAAGATAAAAAGAATAAATAAATTTAGTCACTTAATAAATCAAGTTGCTTAATCACTGATACATTCTCCAACTGTACCTAGCAGCCTGGTGTGAGCTCCGCAGGGTGGGGCGACACAGATTCCTGTGGGTGGAGCTATTGCTTCCTCTCAGGCTGATGTCATTTGCAGGTGAATTCTCTGCTGGAGAGAGATGGCTTCTGCAGTAGGGAAATGACTCAACACAGGGATCCTGGCAGCTCACCCCTCTGCTTTCTCACCACAGCCACCAGTCCCAGACTCTCCTCATGCATCTCGAGTTCACTCTGCCTTCCTTCTGCCAGATCCCAAAGTGTGGGGCTGCCAAGAGAAAATTGTGTGTTGGCCCTCTAGAGGCCCTCTGTTTCTCTAGCTGTCTCTCCCTGGTGGACAGAAACTGCAATGCATTTCACAGCCGCATGTTATTTGGGTTTCTTTCCCAGTTCTGGTGCTTAGGGTAGGGGCCCAGCTTGAGGTCTTGACATTTCTCAGCGGGAGCCCCCCAGTGACTAAAGTACCCCTCCCTCCGGAACTTCAGCCCCACGAGCCCTCTCACACCTCCACACTCCCTACCAGCGGCGGGGTTGGTTTCTTCTGTCTGTCCTTCGTTATAAGGCTTCTCTCTCCAGCGAGTGTTCAGTTTGCTATTCAGAGTGTTTTTTCTATAATTTAGTTGTAATTCCGGTTTGGCCCTGAGAGGTGGTTAGTGTAGCTCCCACTCATCCCTCTGCCATCTTATTACATGTTTGAGAGGGCTTTAATTTCCGAAATGATGTGTTTACTGTTTGTGTCCATTTGGAGATGTTTTGTGTATGTGGTTTTGGGGTTTTTGGTTTTGTTTTTGAGTTTTTCTAGACTCTGGGGAAGGGAGGGAGAAAGTGAAGGAAAGAAACATGATTGTGAGAGAGAAACGTCAACTGGTTGCCTCACATATACACCCCTCCTAGGGATCAAACCCAAAGATCAGCCATATGCCTTGACTGAGAATGAAACCTGTCAACTTTTTGTTTGTGGTATGTTACTAAGTCTCTCTAGCCAAGGCTATATATGTAGTTTTAACCCCTTTATGAGAATGTCAAAATGTCCTGATTAAAAGAGGCATATAGTTACCATGGAAACAAAACTGAGCCAATGGCATGACTATTCTGTAACAAATGTGTACTCCTAGTCCTTTTACCTTTTTCATCCATCCCCTCAACCCTTTCCCATCTGGCAACCATCAATACGTTCTCTGAATATATGAGTCTTTCTGTTCTGCTTGTTTGTTTTTTAGATTCAATTGTCAATAGATTATGTATTTATTTACATTTTATTGTTCAGATTTTTTATCTCTTTTTTTTTCTTTTTAAAGAAGACCCTTTAACATTTTCTATAATACTGGTTTGGTGATGGTGAACTCCTTTAGCTTTTTCCTATTTGGGAAATTCTTTGTCTGTCCTTAGATTGCAAATAATAGCTCTTCTGGGTAAAATAATCTTCATTGTAGGTCCTTGCTTTTCATTACTTTGAGTATCTCTTGCTAACTCTGCTGGCCAGAAATCATTTGACAGTCTTATAGGAGCTCCCTTAATTGCTTTTCTCTTGCTCCTTTTAAGATTCTCTCTGTCTTTAAATTTTGCCAGATTTATGAGGGGAGGGTTCAGCAAAGGAATAGTGGCTTCTGCCAGCACTTCTGTCCCAGAGGAAGATGCCCCCAATTCTTGTCCTGATGCAGGATAATTCAGTTCTTCTGCATATGTCCTGGCACCTTTCAAGTTGCTTCCCCAACTTGAGCTCAGAGAGAGTGAGTCTGAGTAAGTCTGTGCATAGGCCCTTTAAGAGCAACTTCCTGGGACTCCACAAGCCCTTCGTCTCCCTCAACCACAATTCCTGCTGGATTTTACAGCCAGAATTTATGAGGGCTTCTCATCCTGGCACTGGACCCCTGGGTTAGGGGGTCTGATGTTGGGTTGGGTTCCCTTGCTTCCCAGGGGGACCTTTGCCCCTGAGATATCCCTTCCAATTTTGATCCGCCATATGTGGGTGTAGGACCAGCCTGTTCCATGTCTCTTCCCTCTTATCAGTCTCCATATGGCTTCTTTAATTCCCTCATTGTAGGACTTCCATTCAGCCAGATTTCAGGCAGTTCTGAATGATGGTTGTTCTGTAGTTGTAATTTTGATGTGGTTCTGGGAGTAGGCAAGTACCATATTTACCTACACCCCCATCTTGACCGGAAGTTAAGATGTCACATCTTATGTTGTAGAAGCTTGGATATTCTGCAGCATTTATTCATTTGTTTGGCCTGTAAATGTCTATTGAATGTCTACTATGTGCAAGCCATTTTACATGTTAGATATTCTAGGGCAGCAGTCCCCAACAATTTTGGCACCGGGGACCATTTTTGTGGAAGACAGTTTTTCTACAGGTTGGGGATGGGGTATGGTTTTGGGATGAGTCAAGCACATTACATTCACCTCCATCTGTGTGGCCTGGTTCCTAACAGGCCTGGAATGATAGCAGTCTGCAGCCCAGAGGTTTGGGAACTCCTGTTCTAGAGAACAAAATGGACACGATACCTGACCTCATTGGAGTTTATCTTATAGTGGGGGAGAAATAATACACAAAAATAAAACATGTAGTATATTATATTGTGATAAAGGCTAAGAAAACATCAAGAAAGGGGATTAAAGGTTGGGAGATGGTATTAAGTATTACATTGTGATAAAGGCTAAGAAAAAAATTAATTACAGAAGTTTAAATACTGGGAGGGTGGTATCGAAATTTAAGTTGGATGGCCAGAGAAAAACCTTGGTGCAGAAATGTGGGGAAAGGACTCAAGTTGGATGAACAGCAATTGCAAAGGCCTTTAGGCTTTTGGGTGTGTCTGGGATGTCCGAGAAAGCTCAAGGAGACTAGGGTAGAAGAGCAGAGTGGAGAAAAAGAAACTTGCTTCTTTGCTTCTCTACTGTCTGCCCTCCATAGTGCACAACTCTTTGCGCATGGAATATTAAAAATGTTTATAAGCATATTAATGAAATTAGATTTCAAAACTTTCAGAGGGAAAACCAATAGTGACTAGCTGGATATGCAAGGAGGGGAAAAGTAGATGACTCACCAGATGAGTGTGTGTGTAGGGGCTATGTGTGTAGTGGGGAAGAAAGTGGTTAGGATGAAGAGGAATAGAAAAGAGCAGGTTTGAGATGGAGATATTGAGTAGGTAACTGGAAACACAACTTTGCTACCTAGGAGAGCTCAGGCAAGAGAGGTATTTGACAGATGCCACCTGGAGGCATGGGATTGATGAGATTCTCCAGGGTTATGGTGTAGGAATTCAGGTGTGGACAGAGCCATGGTGTGAAAATGCAGCAACAGATATGGATTCATTCTATAGGCAGAATTTTAGGCCTTGGTGACAGAAGGGAAGTAGATGGTAAAGAAAAGCAAGAGTCAGGTGAATGCTAGTGAACTGTTAACAATGGTGGTGACATTGATCAAATCAGAAGGGGTAAAAGTGAATATCAGAATAAAAAATATTTAGTAAATGCTGAGTTGAAAAAAGAATCTATGTTTAAATCTCATAAACTGAGGCATTCAAAGTCATTGAACTAGTTAGGAGCCAAAATGACCTTATTTGTAAGGTAGCCCTTATTACAACTCTGAAGCTCCAGTGTTACCAGCAGGTGGCGCACTCCACAGGGTGATCAGATGAGCTTCCAAACCTCATTTGCCTGGAAACCTTCCTCTTTGCCATTAAGCCTGAAGCCTGGGAATTTTTTTTCCAGGGTTAGGGGAAAAAAGGGGGTGTGATGCCAATCATTACTGCTTTTTGTTTGAGTCAGTCTGTACCTGGATAAGCAGAGTGGTGTCCCTAAATGGCACAGAACTCATCAAAGGGAGGCTTATTTCTGTGTGTTCTTTTTAGACATCATTCGACTTAGTGCTTTGGTACTTCTTGAATGTGCCAAATAATAAGTAGTTAGTATCAGGGAACAACTTTCACTTGTTGCTCATCAAGACTAGATATTAATTGGCAAAAAGAGGGCAAGATAAACTTGGGACAAAATAAATGTGTGTGTGGTTATTAATATGCTGTGCTTAACCTTTAGACACATCAGATGGCAGTTTTGCTAAGTGGAAACAGTCAAAATTGAAAGAAGATGATGTTCCAGGATCCCTTTCCTCAGTGGCAGAAGAAACAGACTTGTCAGGTAACATTATACACCCAGCCAGCCAGTCATGCAAGTGTGTGACAAAGTGTGACTGAATGTAGCAATGTGAATTACAAGAGTTACAGTTTGAAGTTCACAGCAGCTGTAAAATTCTGAAAACTAAGCATTCTGTCCTTTCAGAGACAAGTAAATTGTTGCACAACTTACAGATAAAAGTAAGCACATCTCCTCCTAGCCTTTTGGTTTCTGCCACTTAACTCTTCTTTGTGGCAATTTTCAGGGCCAGAGGTTCCTAAACTTACAAGTCTCTGCTTTAGTTGAGAGTTATTACCATATTTTTGCACCATAAGACACGCCTAGGTTTTAGAGGAGGAAAATAGGGAAAAAATTTTTGAAGCAAAAAATGTGGTAAAATATTTAATAACAATATTTCACCAATGTAAATGTAAACAGAACTCAACAGCAGCATTAACAAGCATTATTCCTCCCACATTTGGGGTGGGGGATGGGAATGCATCTTATACTTCGAAAAATACATAACTAAATTTTTGTGTTGTATATGTTTACTCTAAAGCAATGAAGGAGAATGACCTGAGATAGCTTCATAGGTGGGGCTGGCCTTCTGGATGAGTGATGCCACCACATTTTGAAACAAAAGGCTCCAAGAAGGCAAATTGGGGAGCCCAGAGGTGCTAGGGCGTGGTAGTTAAGAGCCAGGCAGCCTGGGTTCCAATCCTGAAGCAACTGGTGTGAGCTTGCACCAGTTATTTGATCTCTCTGTTAAATGTGGACAGTAACAGTGTCACTTCATGTGGTTTTTAAGAAGATTAAATGAGTCAGCACATGCAAGTCCCTTAGAATGGTGTTAGACCCGGCATGTGCCCTAATGAAACTTCTGGCACCCATAAGTTGTTATGCCAATGTTTCCCTTATAGCAGGGTGTCAAACTAGTTTTCACGGGGGGCCATATCAGCCTCGTGGTTGCCTTCAAGGTCCAAAATAGTTTTAGAACTGTATAAATGTAACTACTCCTTAACTGGTAAGGAGTTGAAATTACATTCAGGCCTTTGAAGGTAACCTCAAGGCTGATGTGGCCCCCAGTGAGAATGAGTTTGACACCCCTGCCTTCTAGAAATGCCCTACGTACCACGTCCTCCTTAAAACTCCTTACAACACCACAGCCTGCTTCTTAGATGTGATACCAGTTGCACTGATCTAAAGTACTGGGAAAGTTTGAATTAAGTGGGCATTTGCTAGAGAGTGAGGTTTGATGGGAAGTGACATGAAGTGCCTCTTGCAAGGCCACTTGTGCAGCCTTGCTGGCCTCAGTAGGAGTCAGCCTGGCTGCAGTCTCCGCCAGGCAGCTGTGCAGCTTGGTGGATTGGATTTGTGCTTCTGCCTGAGTGTCCATCCTCAGTTCAGCTAATGGACTGAGCACATCTACGTCAAGCACTTTGTTAATTTTACTTCGTGTTTTATTTTTACTGTTCAAAAGGCATTTCTCCTCCATCCCTGGCAGTTGTGCCAGAGAACTTGAATAGTTCTGCTGTTATCACAACCTTTGAAAACTTCACTAGAGAACTGAAAAGAAAATACGAGGTAATGATCTGCTAACAATGAAAAGCTAGCCTGTGATGAGTTTAAAGTAACAGGTTCATATTATTTATTAATCCTGTTGTCTTTCATGTGTGAAAGTGTTCCTGAGTGTTTCGGGAAGGTAGATTTGTCTTAGCTATGGTCACTGACTTTAGAGCCTTTGTGAATTGTGGTTTGTATTTATAAGACAGCTATTTCATGCCCATTGACTACCATGGGACCAGATGGACTATATGGAAACCAGACTCATGGTTTGGTTTCATTGATAGCATTCTAGACAGCTGAACTAGGAGGCAATGATTTGGTCACAGTGATACACAAAGAGGAGCAGGGAGGAGGCCTGTGGATAACAGAGGTGTCTGGGACAGAGATGGAGTTAGGCTGTGGGTGGGTGTTCAGCTGAGTGGTGGCTTCTCTTTGTGACACTGCACATACAGGCTGTCCCCAAACTTTCATCTGCCAAATGAATTTTAGGACCAGTTCAATGCCCCCCTTTTGTCCTATTTTTGTATATCCCTAGAGTTATTTAATAGCATATATGAGAGAACTATCTTACCCTAACATACAATCATTTACCTAAGTTGGAAGATCTCCAAAGTCTTATTTTCTTAATGGGAGCTAATTTATAATGGAAAGTTGTACATGATATACAATATGTGTAGCAATAGTACAAATGCGAATTTTTCTATTTTAGCTTATTGTTCTTTATTAGTACTGACCCTGAGGTAATGCATGGAAGGTGTGTAGTATGGAACCTTATCACTGTTCTGTAGCCAGAACAGTGACATTAATGTTTGCAATGAATATGAAATGCTGTCAACATGTTTTTAGTACAACGCCTGCACTCAGTTTGTGAGGTTATGGTTAACCCAAATGTGACCCTTTTTATTGTTGTTATGGTTTAGCTTAGGTACAGGAGGAGTGCACTTTATTCAAAATATGCAAAGCAAGCACCGAGTTGCCTAATAAAATTTTTAAACCAGATACATCACTGCAGGTAAGTGCATGCATAAAAGTTCAAAACAAGTTCATGAAAGTGTGATCGCTTGGAAACAATGGTCTCATGACTACTGGGCTGGCTTGTGAGGAGTTGAAGCTTGGGCAGATGTGAGGTTTGATACATGGCTTAACCCTGGCAGGTGTGTGATCCTTCACTCATAAGATAAAGGTTGAACTAAAGGCCTTCCTTAAGCTTCTTTATATTCTTCCATTATATGATTTTAAGATACTATTAAAATTCATAATCCAATTGTGAAAACAGGGCAAGTGTGTATATATATGTAAAAAATGCTGGATAAATGATATATGGTAGAGACATACAGTGGATATTATTCAGCCTTAAAAAGGAGTAAAATTCTGATACAGGCCATAATATAGATGAACTGTGAGGACATTATGCTAAGTGAAATATGTAAAAAGACAATTACTATATGATTCTACTTCTATGATGTACCTAGAACAGGCAAATTCATAGAGATGGCATAGAGGTTACCAGCAGCTGGGAGAAGTAGGAAACAGGGAGTTATTGTTTAATCAGTGCAGGGTTGTTGTTTGGACTGAAGGGAAAGTTTTGGAAATGGATGTTGGTGATGGTTGCAGAACATTGCAAATGGCCTTATACTGCTACTGAATGGTACACCTAAAATAGTTAAAAGGGTAAATTTTATGTTATGTATATTTTGACACAATAAGAAATACTACACACTCATGCACATGCATGCACATGTGTGCAAACACATATACCCCTATCACCATGTAACAAGAAGCACAAGCGTGCTGAGATTTCAGACAGATGGGAAGGATGAGAAATGGGAGTGGAGAGGTGGGTTTCTGCAGTGACTGGAGTTAACCCAGAGTGATTACAATGGAAGTGCATCTGCAGTGAGGGTCAGAAAATGAGGGTTTGAACAGTACAGGGAAGATGAGTATAGAAATTGTTTCTGTTGGAGAGAATGGTTTTAAACGAAGGTGGGAAGACAGCAATGGCAGATCAGTTTGCTTAACTGAAGTAGAAAGTTTCTTAGGGAGGGCTAAATAATATGAATAGAAATTTATATTTTTTTCAAACATTTATACATGTACTTGCCATTTGATTCTTAAAACAAGCCTGAGAAGGACTTGGGACTTCTGGAACTTCTAGTGTCTTCTAGGGGGCAAACATTTATTCGCTTTTTATTTAGCCTATGCCCATGCGCATGTGAGGTGCTGGGTGTGTGCCACAGGCAGGAGTGTAGAGAGAGTAAGCATCAAGAGCGTCTTGCCTTTGTGGAATTTTCTGTGTAATGAAGAAGATAGACAAGAAGCAAGCACACAAAGAAGCAGTTTCTATGGTAGAAACTGCTTTAGACACAATAGCAACTGTTAGAAATTTCAGAACTAAAACGTAGAGATGGAAAAAGTTTGTTAGCCGATTTCAGCTTTTAAAGCCAGTTTACTCAAGAAAAGGGCTGCAAGTGGAAGGTAGGAAGCATTGGGGAGCCATGGCTGGTGGTACAGTGGCTTCTAGCCCAGGTCTGGTGTTGGCCCCCTTTTCCCTGGCATTATTTCTCCTTTGCTCTCTACAAAGTATGGATTGAAATACCAGCTCTCTCCAGGCTTCTGTTGAAAGGGTAAATAACAGTTCGCAGTTGAGTTTCAGGGGGTGAGGGTGGGCTGGCAGTAAGGGGAGGGAAGAGAAGAGAGATGTGAATTCTTAAAAACAAGAACCATCTAGAGTCAAATGTGAGGTATCCTTGCAATAAGAGGTTTAATCAAGAGTGTATTTTGTCACAGCCAAGCAGCCCCAGTGAAATCTATTGCTTTTACATTTACAGACTGAATAAACTAGAGCAGTTTCACAATTTTGTCTTTCAAGAGCTGACCAATCTTGAGAAGGATTTTCAGGCTCTGAAACACCTTGAGAAAGATGTTCTGGTAAGTTCTTTTTGGCTGTTATTTTTTTTATTAATTTTATTTAGTTATTTTTCAAGTACAGTTTTTTGTCTATTTTTCCAAGTTCTTTTTGTTTACAACATTCTCTGTGGCTTTCAAGAGTCTGTTCCAGGGTAGAATAACTGCTTACTGGCTAAACACACCTATTATTCAATTTTAGGAATTTCTGGGGAAACAGGCTGATGATCTGAAGTCATTCTGTGACCTGCAGATAACTAGGTAATTTTTAAAAGTTTTCTTCCTAGAAGTGTCTTAGTTGAATGTGAGCTATGCTTTAGCTAGAGTATGGGGGTTGATATTGGTAGAACTTCACGTAAGGAGCTAAATGGCTACTTCTTTTTAAACTAGCTGCTCCTGTGTCACTGCCTGAGTGTGGTCTGGCTCAGGATATCAATCTAGGAGGGTAAATTTTCAAAAGCAGAAACAGGATCATCCAAATTTCAGTATGTGTGATCTAAATTGTTTTTATTTTTAAGCAGTATTTAAAACAATTAAAATCTGGATTTTGAGCAAAAGATTTAGATTTGTGAGTAAACAGTTGATTTTCAGTTATATACTGACTTGTGTTCTTTTTTTTTAATTTTTAATTTTTTAAAATTTTTATTTAATTATTTTTCAAGTACATTTTTGTCTATTTCTCCCATCCCAGCACCCCCCCCACCCCGTCACCCCACCTCCCTCCCATTTCCGCCCCCCACACCAGTCCTCATCCCTGTGACTTTCATACTTGTTCCTCAAAATCCCTCCCCTTTTTTCCCCTTAAATTCCCTTCCCTCTCCCCTCTGGTCACTGTCCACTTGTTCTCTATTTCAGTGTCTTTGTTTTTATTCTGTTTGCTTGTTTGTTTTATTGTTTAGCTTCCTGTCAAAGGTGAGATCATATGGTATTTGTCCTTCAATGCCTGGCCTATTTCACTCAGCATAATGCTTTCCAGTTCCATCCATGTTGTTGCAAAGGGTAGTAGCTCCTTTCTCTCTGCTGCATAGAATTACATTATGTATATGTACCACAATTTTTTGATCTGTTCATTTACTGATGGGCACCTAGGTTGCTTCCAACTCTTGGCTATTGTAAATTGTGCTGCTATGAACATTGTGGTGCATAGGTTATTTGAAATTGATGTTTTAGGATTCTTAGGATATAATCCTAGCAGTGGAATTGCTGGGTCAAAAGGCAGGTCGATTTTTATTTTTCCGAGAAAATTCCATACTGTTTTCCATAATGGTTGTACCAGTCTGCAATCCCACCAACAGTGAACTAAGGACCCCTTTTCCCCACAACCTCTCCAACATTTGTTGTTTGTTGCTTTGTTTATTATAGCCATCCTGACTGGTGTAAAGTGGTATCTCATTGTGGTTTTAATTTGCATCTCTCTGATAGCTAATGATATTGAGCACCTCTTCATGTGTCTCTGGATGTTCTGTATGTCCTCTTTGGAGAAGTGTATGTTCAAGTCCTTTTCCCATTTTTTAATTGGGTTAGATGGCTTCTTAGAGTGGAGTCGTGTAAATTCTTTGTATATTTTGGAGATTAAACCTTTGAGGTATCATTGGCAAATATGTTTTCCCATACAGTTGGTTGTCTTTTTATTTTAATACTGTTTTCTTTAGCCATGCAGAAGCTTTTTATTTTGATGAGATCCCATTTGTTTATTCTTTCCTTTATATTCCTTGCTCTAGGGCACATATCCGTAAAAATGTTGCTGCGTGGAATATCTGAGATTTTCTTGCCAGTGTTCTCCTCTAGGACTTTAATGGTGTCATGGCTTATATTTAAGTCTTTTATCCACCTTGAATTTATTTTGGTGTATGGTGTAAGTTGGTGCTCAAGTTTCATTTTTTTTCATGTAGCTGTCCAGTTCTCCCAACACCATTTGCTGAAGAGGCTATCTTTACTCCATTTTATGTTACTGCCCCCTTTGTCAAATATTAATTGACTGTAGAGAGTTGGTTTGATTTCTGGGCTCTCTGTTCTATTCCATTGGTCTATGTGCCTGTTTTTATGCCAGTACCAGGCTGTTTTGATTACAGTGGCTTTGTAATACAGTTTGATATCAGGTATTGTGATCCCTCCTACTTTGTTCTTCTTTCTCAAAAGGATTGGAAGAATTAACATCATCCAAATGACTTGTGTTCTTGATACAGTATATTCTATCAAGAACGCTCATATATATATATAAAGCAACAAGTGGGTGTATCCCACCCTGCATTCTGAGGCTGCTGCTTCAGTTCCCTGGGAGTCCCATCCCATTGTCTGGAGTGTTAGGAGTGGGGCAGTAGAGAGCGGAGTCCTGCACACATGCCTCTGCTTCTGCCCTGGGAGGGGTTCTAGTGCTTTCTTCCAGTTTGAACAATCAAAAGGGATGCCTACATATACTCGCGGTGGCTAAAGCTTTATCTCCCAGTTGAGAATCAGCTTCTGTCACAGAAATCTAACTCAAATGGTTTTAGGAAGGATATTATTCTTATTGCACCACATATTTCAAACAGCAACACTTTTGAAATTTGGGTTACCACTCCTCTGTTATTCCATTTAACACAATTAATAATAATGACACTACTGACTATAGATTTTCAAAATTCTTGTGCATGCACATCTCCGTTCATGTGCCCTTATTAAGAATTAAAGGCAATATAATTTTAAAACCTCTTTACTGAATACCCCAGATCGTGAATGGTTCTCAGACTTTTTGGAACTGGGACCTCTTAAACTTTTACCTAAAAAAATATAAGTATAATTTTCAGAGAACTTTTCTTCCATCTTTAAGAATGTAACTCTTTACATGGGCTATGGTGGAGGTCACCCACAGGTACAAATTGGGGTAGGGGTGTTTGGTCATTCTAGGCTTCATGAGAATGATTCCTGCTATCTTGCTGTGAACAGCAGATTCACACAGTAATGTAGTTTCACATACAGCTTGGGAAGCACATAGGCATCAAAGACACTCGCTTTAGAAATGTCCCTAATAGCTTCAGCCTCTACTGTATTTCCAGTGATGAGCCTCTTAAGGGCCTTGTCCTTGGGCACACATTGGGTACAGCTGGTGCAGTGAATGGACTGCATATTTCTGCGGCTCTTCATGGCATGACAGTTGTTCCTTCTTTTCTTGGTCAGCTTGGAAGAGAGAACCCAAGAGAGGCTTAAACTTCTAAAATTTACTGAGAATCCCCAAAAAGCTTTTTTAAAAATATTTTTTTTATTTTATTGATTATGCCATTACATTTGTTCTATTTCCCCCCCTCATTCCCCTCCACCCTGCACACCCCTCCCCCACCACTCCCCCTCCACTCCCCCCTTTAGTTCATGAACACGTGTCTCAAGTTCTTTAGATTCTATATTTCCCCTACTATTCTTACCCTCCCCCCATCTATTTTCTATCTACTTTCTATGCTACTTATTTTCTGTACTTTCTCTCTACTTCTCCTTCTCCCACTCCCCTGTTACTAACCCTCCACGTGATCTTCATTTCTATGGTTCACTCCTGATCTAGTTGTCCTCTTAATTTGCTTTTGTTTTAGGTGTGGTTGTTAATAACTGTGAGTTTGCTGTCCTTTCACTGTTCATCTTTTTATCTTCTTTTTCTTAGGTAAGTCCCTTTAACATTTCATATAATAAGGGCTTGGTGATGATGAACTCCTTGAACTTGATCTTATCTGAGAAGCACTTTATCTGTCCTTCCATTCTAAATGAAAGCTTTGCTGTATAGAGCTAACTTGGTTGTAGGTCATTGGTTTTCATGACTTGGAATACTTCTTTCCAGCCCCTTCTTGCCTGTAAGGTCTCTTTTGAGAAATCAGCTGACAGTCTGATGGGAACTCCTTTGTAGGTGACTATCCCCTTATCTCTTGCTGCTTCTAGGATTCTCTCCTTCATTTTAATCTTGGCTAATATAATTATGATGTGCCTTGGTGTGTTTCATCTTGGGTCCAACATCTTTGGGACTCTCTGAGCTTCCTGGATTTCCTGGAAGTCTATTTCCTTTGCCAGATTGGGGAAGTTCTCCTTTATTATTTGTTCAAATAAGGTTTCCACTGGTGGCTGTTCCTCTTCCCCTTCTGGTACTCCTATAATTCGGATGTGGGAGCGTTTAAAGATGTCCTGGAGGTTCCTAAGTTTCTCCTCATTTTTTTGAATTCTTGTTTTTTTCATCCTTTTCTGTTTGGTCATTTTTTTCTTCCTTCTGGTCCACTCCCTTGATTTGATTCCCAGTTTCCTTTACATCATTTTTGGTTTCCTCTGCATTTCCCTTCATTTCAATTAGTTTAGCCTTCATATGTTCCTCTAATTTGCGACTAAAATCAACCAGTTCTGTGAGCATCCTGATCACCAGTGTTTTGAACTGTGCATCTGAAAGTTTGGCTATTTCTTCATCGCTTAGATTTATTGGCTCTGGGGCTCTGAGTTGTTCTTGAGCCATGTTTTGATCTGTTTGTGCCTGTTAGGTATGAGGAGCGGAGCCTTAGTTGTTCACCAGGGTGGGGCCACCCAGGTGGCTGGTTTGTGATGCTGTTTGTGGGGGCGGGGTCAGAGAGGGAGCAATGGCGGTCCTCTTTGCTTGCCTGATCCGGCTCACCACTCACCCCCGCCTGTTAATCTGAGCGCAAATGTGCGAGCCCGTTGCCCTGTGCTGGGGCCTGTGTGGTCTGTCTCAATGCTCATCTCTTCACTGGTTTATCTGCATGCAAATGCTCGACCCCAGACAGCCAGCTGGGCCGTGCCTTCCCTGGGTCCTGCCCTAGCTACCCCGCATCCGGGATCCACGCCCTCAGCTGCCTGCATGCTGCTCGTGTGCTGCCCGGGTCAGGGGATCTTTTTTGCCCAACCTGCTCTGCTGCTGGCTCTGCCCCTCTCACCATTTAGCTGAGCGGTTCATTGTCTTTGGACTCTGTATTGTTCGATTTTCTGTAGTTTGGTTGCGTTTATTATTGTTAAAACTTTGTTGTTTTTAGATTTGGTTGTGTGAGGAAACAAAGTGTTTCCACCTACGCCTCCATCTTGGCGGAAGTCCCCCAAAGAGCTTTTGATTTATGGGTTAGAGCTATGAAAATTTTCCATATTAAAAATTGAGACTGAGATTTAAAACATGTATTTATTTAAAAATAGCAAATAAATCTGTATATATTGATGTAAGTAATAGATTTTTATGAAAAATAACCAGACTTTTCAAAACAGGGAATGTGAAAAGAGTAGCACTATTTTATGTTTCTGCAAATGTCTTTAACGTCTGGCTTAATAGAAGATAGCTGTGTTCTCATGTCTGCTTGTGAATTCAGTCTGTTGTGATATCACAGGTTGTGTAGCCTCTGGAAAATTCAGTGGTGTATTTGTGGGAATGTAAGAATTAAAAAAGCAAATAATTTCATAGTGTCAAATAATGTCCAAAATAAATGTTCATCTTACAGAACCAAGGATTTGGGGTGCCTTAAGGGTCCAAAGGTTCACAATTTGCTAACAACTAGTATAAAGCAGCACTGTAATAAGCATTAGAGAAGATTATACCCCCTATTCTTCTGAAACATAGAGAATTTACTTATTTTGACTGAAGCCCACATTTTAGACAACTGTTTCGTTGATTCATACAGGTTACATTGTAGAATATTACTTACCACTTACATTCATCTCCCTTGGTAATAGCCCCCTGTGGGAATTTAGAATAAGAACAAAATTGCTTCTAAATATACATATCTCAGAGTTCTACATTTGTTCTCCTTTCTCCCAAACACCTAGGAAACCACCCTGTGGCTTGAAGATGAGAGAGAATGGTGATGCTCTTTAGTTCACACTGAGTGTGTACTGAGCACCAGGCTCTGGGCTAAGCACTTGAAGTGCCTATGAGATTTAGAGTGTTTAAGTAGCTTGGTAGAGATCCAATATCTGGACCTGGTCAGGATCTGGTGTCTGTCCTTCTGTCATGTTTGCTCATTAGTGTTGGCTTTATACATTTTTCCTAGGGTGACAAGAAGGACATTTCTCAGACTAGATGTGGGCATAATGCTGTAGAGGGACTGGGATTCAGTGCTTTGAGATGTGGTCATGAAATATCTCTGCACAAGTTCCAGCCAAGATGCAGGTAGATGTTTTTTGCCTTCTCACACAACCAAAAGAAAGACAACAACAAATTAAAAAACAAAAAACAACCAGAACTGCCAGAAAAGTCTGACAGCCAAGAAGTTAAAGAAGAAACATTCATCTAGATTGGTAGGAGGGGCAGAGAGGGGCAGCCAGGGCAGAGAGGACACACGGTAAAGCAGCAGCTGGTGGACTGGGTGGGCGGGCAAGGTGACAACTGGCGACTGGGCAGACCCACATTCTTATATGGATAAACTGGGAAGATCAACTGAAGAGCAAGACACACCACACAACCCAGGGTTCCATTGTGGGGAAAATAATGCCTCAGAATGTCTGGCTATAAAAACCTGTGAGGGTGAGGTGTCAGAAAAAATGGCCAGTCTCTCGAAAGTGGGGTGAGAGCCAAGCAAGTGGCATTGTTCCCTTTCTGACCTCTCCCCCATGTATAACACCACAACACAGCGAAGTGGGGTGTCCTGCCCTGGAGAACACCTATGGCTCTGCCCTGTTGCCTCATACAACATAACAGGTGTGCTGAGACAAAGAAATATGGCCCAACTAAAACAACAGATCAAAACTCTAGAAAAAGAACTAAGTAAGACAGAGATAGCCAACCTATCAGATGCACAGTTCAAGACACTGGTAATCAGGATGCTCACAGAAATGATTGAGTATGCCTGAAAATAAGGGAAGAAATGAAGGCTATATGGGTGAAATAAAGAAAAATATACAGGGAAACAACAGTCAAGAAAAGAAAACTGAGATTCAAACCAATGATGTGGAATAAAAGGAAGAAGTAAACATTCTACCAGAACAGAATGAAGAAACAAATTCAAAAAAATGAGGAAAGGCTGAGGAATTTTAAATGTTCCAGCATCTAAATTGTAGGGGTGCCAGGAGAAGAGGGAAAGCAAGAAATTGAAAACTTACTTGAAAAAAAAAGAAAGAAAATGATGAAACAAAAATTCCCCAATCTGGTGAAGGAAATGGTGAATCACAGAAATGGAGATACATGGAGGGTTATCAGCTGGGAGGAGGAAGGGGGAGAATGAAGGAAAAGGCACAGGGAATAAGAAGTGTAATTGGTAGTTACAAAATTGACAGGGGGTGATTAAAAATAGTATAGGAAAAGGAGGAGCCAAAGAACTTACATATATAACCCATGGCAAGAACTAAGTGGGGGGAATGCTGAAGGGAATGGGGGTACCCGGCAGAGGGGCATAAAGGGGAGAAAAAGGGATGGGACAACTGTAATAGCATAATCAATAAAATATACTTAAAAAAGAAATACTTATGCACAGGTGTGGGCTAGTGGTATTGATAGATGATATATAAAATAGAATCAAGTAAAATATTAATTTCTTATGTCAATATCGTAGATTGACCCTTGACCCTCCTCAGCTAACATTGGTAACATAATCTATGAAATGACTCTATGGTATATGCATATACATATATGTATATTCCTAATTTTAATTGCCAAATGTGAATATAATGATATGGACCAATTTCTTCCAGGCTTAATGCAATCCAGCCTTCCTGAGGAAAGCCAAATACCAGTTTCATTACTGCATCCCTGGGGTAGGTACAAAGGTTTGCTTTGTTCAGTTGATGTGAATTGGAGTGGGTGAAGCAAACACTGAAAGATACTTTGCCCATATTGCAGCTCTTCCACTGAGATTTCTCCTTTTTCACAATATCTCCCATCTTAGCTATTATCCTTTTGGATCTGGGTCATTCATTCATTCACTCATTCAGTAAATGTTTATAATTGAGTCTTGGCTCTGCATCAGGCACTCTGCTAAATAGGAAAATATGGTGGTTAACACACATGCTACCACCTCCATTAAAGATAAATTCTCTAATGGAATACAGAAAAAAGACAAGTAAACAAAATAATTGCAAGTTTACTAAGTACTTTTGGGGATACTAACCAGGTGCTTTGGCAGAGCTAAATGGTGTGAAGTTCAATTTAAGATAGGATGGTCATCAAAGGTCTAAGGAAGTGATATTTAAGGTGGTGTTTCAAGAACAGGAAAAACCTGGACTTGTGAACAGTTTAAAGCAACCACATTGGATACGAAGCACTTGACACCTTTGAGGAACTGAAAGTTCTTGGATCACAGTGGTGTAAGGGGGTCTTACTTGAAATCAAGTTGGGAACGTGGTTGACTCTCAATGAAGAAAGGCTTCTTTGACCTCGTTGAGGAGTTTGAATTTTATACTAAGGGTGAAGGAAAGTATAGATGGGTTTTGAGCAAAGGCATTGAGGATGAGGGTTATATAATCTGATGTATATTTTAAGAGAATTGTTCTAGCTATTGTGTTGAGAATTGATTGGGGAAGTGAAGAATAGAAGAGGGGGTGTGGAAAGAATAGAAGAAGAAAGCTCAACTGGCGGGCATTGGAGATGGGGAGAAGTGGAGAGATTCCAGATTCATTTTGGAGCTAGAATTAATAAATTACTCATAGATGGAAGGAAGGGGTAAAGGAATGAGAAATACAGGTACATCCTAGGTTTCTGTCTTTTAGGAATTGGATCTTATTGCCATCATACAGATAGGGAAGACATGGGATGGAAGGAATGTGTGTATTGAGCAGAAACTACAGTTAATTTGTTAACATTTTAACTTTCAGATGTCTATGCAACCTAAGTTTTGATGAGAACCTGGAATAATGGACACTTTTCCAAGAAAATGCAATTTAACTAAAGAGGCTCCTGAATACATGGAATAACTAGCAAATATTCATCAAAGAAATAAAGTTGATGAAGAAGTACCCTACAAATGTGTATGGTCCAGATTGCTGCCCAGAGAAGTTCTACTGGTTCTTTAAAGAAGAATAACTTGAGTGTTATTCAGGCTGATTGGAACCAGTGAATTCATTACAGGAAACTGCCTTAAGACTTCCGTCTGGGGGAGAGAGTGGTCTGACAGGAGGGAGGGCGACACTAAGATATGTTTAGCTTCCTAAGAGGTATAGGGCGTTCTAAGCCCATGTGCTCCTGAGGTTGAGTCAGACTGGTTCTACTCTTCTGTGAGGTCCTCAGGCATCATTTTATCTACTGAATAATTTATATTCTCTGGTTCAGTTTCTCCACTTGAATGTAAAATTCAACATATGAGAACAGTGGATGAACCACACGTGTTATCCAACCAAAAAGGTGAGTACCTGGCATCTGATAGGTATGAAATAAAAACTGCATCAGATGAATGAATAGGCTGGACAGATGGATGGATGGGGTGTGATAAAATGTACTAATGTCTTATTGTTCCCACTGTTCAGTTGGGATGCTTCACTGAAGTGATGAAGCCAGATTTCACTCTTGCACATCCCAAACATTAGGCTTCCCTTTAGACACTGTTTGTTCTCAGTCTTTAGAAGAACAAGGTAATAATCTCTTCTGATTTCTTTGTAAAATTCTTCAAGTTGCTCATTAAACAATAACAATACCACCGAAAAACACAGGGCACAATTCCTGCTGCCCATCTACCCACTGCCAGAGGCCTCCAGCTTGGCAGGATCCAAGCCATCTACATTTGTCCAGTAGGCTCACACATGTGTGTCTCAGGTCACGCATCCAGCAGGGACCAACCCCATTTCAACCCTGAAGTAATGTGATCCCAGCCCAACCGTGAGGACACCAGCACCCACTCACCTCAGGTACCTAGATGGGCAGCCTTCACCCTTGTAGTCAGTGGGCCTGTTCCCCTCTGTGGCTGCCAGTTTGCTTCCTTTCTCTGACAGAAAAAAGTTTATAGGGGGGTCTGCGCCAAAAGCAAAGAAACTAAGCTTTGGGGTAACTTTATTATAGGTATAATCACATGAGGTTATGCTCAACTTTTTTAAAAAGTTGAAAGTCCATATAGGACTTTGATTATTATCATAACATATTTCTTAGGAGCCTGACCACACTTCCACCATTGAAGGCTCACCTTATCAGACAGTATCAGGAATATTCAAGTGACACCTGCCTTTAGGTTAATTCAGTAAAAGTTTATCGAGGACTAAATGTGCCAGGTACTATGAATATTTGCTTACACAGAATTTACTATTTCATTGGAGAGAAAAGATCATGTGATTGCAGAAGATCACAAGGCAAGATCTACTTAGGAGTTGAAGCCCAGGCTCTCCTAGTTCCGGAGGGAAGGAGAACCTTTCTCTGCTTTCAGACATAGACTCATCCAGTAACACTTAATTCAGGGCTTTAGGCTCTAATTTTAATTATCTGAAATTCAGCTGCAAATTTAGGCATAAATGATGAAAGACCTCTAAGCAGAAAAACATGCAAAAAAGTCTGTGCACTGTTTATGAGTGAGCCAAATCTATTTCCTTTTTCTGCCAAGTTCTATCAAGTATAATATTTCTGTTTACTAACCCAAAACTGGTTAACAGACAGTATTTAAAAGAGAAACAAAATGCTGCCAGAGATGGAAACTGAATTTAGGAGAATAAAGGAGGCACCTGAAAGTGAAGAATACATATAACTTTAAAAATATTAGGCATAAGAGCTTAATAGGCAGAACAGTCTAAGACAATTTACTATTCAAGCAATCCATCATACCTTCATGGTTCTTCCAAGTATGATATGCTTCAAACACTGCCTGATTTTTTTCATGTGATTTATATATGAAATATATAAACAGTAAGCTAGATGTTTGGAACCCTCAGAAATTTTTCTCAGATACAGTGATACAAAAAGTGATTTTGCTTTCAGAACAGTGTCTGAGTGTTAGTGACCTCCATGATACAAGTGCTATGTTTATGAACTACAGTAAACATTACAGAAAACAATTCTAAAGCCATTTTTAAAACATAAAAGTCATAAGGTAATACCAATAAAATAGGTCCATATCTCACAATGCTCCCCAAACTGCTTGTGTGGTCCAGAGCCTAGGCCCACTTGGTGGAAACTGAATCTCCCTTAGGCTTTGCCTGACTTACCCCACAGACCATTGGAATCTGAAATGGAGAAATATGGGTTGGTGTTGCTTTATATGAGAGGATAGAAGGAGAGCTAACACTTGCCTCAGGCCAGAAGATACCTGATTTGCCACTGGGACAAAGTTAAGGGCATTCTCACTGATTTGATGCATCCAGTCAAAGAGCATCTATTCTTTACCAGACCACCAAGGGCAGTGTCAGACCCTCATTGTATCCCTAGCACCTACTGACTGAACACTGTAGACAAATGTATTTCGAGCAAAGGAAGCAATGGATGGATGATATTTCTTCCTAAAGAAGGGCAGCCACTTAAAGAAGGATGAAGATCTAGTTTCTTATTGCCTACACCCAGGATGTCCAAGCTATGGGGCTAGACACCACAGAGCTAGGCACAGAGCAGCAGCTATGAACCAAAAAAAGACCTTGTACTTGGTGCAGCAGGAATTTCTAGGGAGGAAACAGCTGGTAAGGAAGGGAAAAGAGAAGAGATAGGAGAGGAAACTTGTTCTCATTAGAAGTATCTGGGAGATATAAGAGTCAACTGGTGGTGGCAGGAGAGAGTGAAGATGAACTGGCAGCCGGAAGTGAACTCATGTAGACCAGGGACCTGTACAAACAAATGTTTGTACTCGAAAAATCTCTTGAGCCATAGAAAAAAAAATCATGTTTAGTTTCCCCTAGGATACAGAAAGAATTATGCAATGTATGTTAGAAAGAATGACACCAAAATGAGTTAAAAATTTAAAAGTATATGTTATTTCTCAAGGCAGGAAGCTTTTGTTATTTGGGAAATGCACTGGTGTGCTAGACAAATGGGGTATCGTTATTTCTTCCAGGTTGAAGGCTATTTTAATAGCTGATTAGAATTTTAGAAAGTGAGACTCAATATTAGGATGTATTCTATTCTAGTCTAACACTAGAATATATCTATGCAGGTTTTTGAAATGCCACTGAATATTCAGGTTCATAAACAATGAAATGATCTTCAACTGTACCCACTACAGATAAACAGCTGTAAAATTCACTGCAACACATAGAACCAAAACTAATACAGCTGAAAGTAGGTTGTGCTTTATAGGTTCATTTTATTGTTGAATATCTTGGACAAGCAGGGGAAAGTAGATAATAGCAAAGAAGAATGAAACGGCATGTTTCCAAACAGTCCCTTTAGTTATTCAGATAAATCATGCTATTTCTTTATTGGAATCCCATCAGAAGGTCATTGTTCTAGGAACTAAGGAATTTTGATCAGCATGAGCCAGTCTGATTATTCCTCAAGAGATCAAAACACAGTAGAAAAAGAGCAGCCTGCTGAAAAATAGAACAAATGGTTAATATAAATCATCAGAGGGATGCAAATTAAAACCACAATGAGACTATCACCTCATACCTGTCAGAATGACCATCATTGATAAGCCAACACACAACATGTTGGTCAGGATGTGGAAAAGGAATCCTCATGTAGTATTGGCAGGAATGCAGGTTGGTGCAGCCACTGTGGAAAACAGAATGGAGTTTCCTCAAAAAATTAAAAATGGAACTGCCTTTTGATGTGGTGATCCTACTACTTCTGGGAATTTACCTGAAGAAACCTGAAACACTGGTTCAAAAGAGTAAGTGCAGTCCTATGTTCACTGCAGCATTATTTACAACATACAAGATCAGCCCAAGTACCTACCCATCAGTACATGAATGGATAAAAAAGTTGTGGCACATTTACACAGTGGAATACTACTTGGCTATTAAAATAAAAGGAAATCTTACCTCTTGCAACAGCATTCATAGATCTGGAGCTTATTTTGCTAAGTGAAAAAAGCGGTCAGAGGAAGACAAATACCATGTGATCTCACTTATATGTGGAGTCTAAAAATAAAATGAGACTTCCACCAAGATGGAGGCATAGGTGGAGATGCCTAGCTTTCTCACACAACCAAGTTTAGAGTCAACTAAATATTAGCAACAGAAAACACAGCCAGAACACAGAAAATTGAACTTTTTGGAAGTCTGATAACAAAATCTTCAGCCTGACCGGTAAGAGGGGCGAAACCAGCAGCTGGTCGTGCGGGGTTGCACAGGAAAGCTCGGTCAGATGGACTCAGGCGCGTGGAACCCAGGCGCAGGGTTGCAAGGGGCGGACCTGGTGAGTGGCCCGGCGAGCGACTGCGGGGAGCCAGCAAGGGAACAGGGCCGAAATTTGACTGTGGTCGCCGCATTCATGCGCAGATGGACCAGCGAGGGAGTGGGCGGTGAGACGGGACTGAGCGGGTCCTAGCTGAGCAGGTCCCAGCTGCGCTAGGCAGCAGAGGGCTCCGCCATTGCCCCGCTCTGACCCCGCCTCCACATAACCACGTCATAACCCAGCGACACTGAGTGGCCCGGCCCTGGTGAACTACCTAAGGCTCTGCTCTTCACCTAGCGGTGCCAAAGGGCAGAGGAGGTCGCCATTTCCCCGCTCTGACCACACCCCCACATACAGCATCACAAACCAGCGACCTGGGAGTCCAAGGCTCCGCTCCTCATACTTAACGGGCACGAACAGACCAAAAATGGCTCAAGAAGTTCTCAAAGCCCCAGAGCCTATAAATCTAAGCAATGAAGAAATAGCAAAACTCTCAGACGCACGGTTTAAAACACTGGTGATCAGGATGCTCACGGATCTGGTTGATTATAGCCACAAATTAGAGAAACATATGAAGGTGAAACTAGTGGAAATGAATGGAATTGCACAGGAAACCAATAGCGATGAAAAGGAAACTGGGACTCAAATCAATGGAGTGGACCAGAAGAAAG